AGCTCAAGAGTCAGTATCATAATATGAGAATACATGTATCCCACACTTGAGCATCCGCACTGCCCAGAAACGTACCGATTTATATTCCGACTCGTCAACCCTTTCATCAATGACCTCCACTCCACTTCTTGGGTTGTCCAGTGCCAAGAATTCGCGTACAATGGCGCTGCAGAAGCCAACGCAGATTTGCAAAGTGATCATGAGAAAAGAGAAGCAAGGGAGCAGTGACTATTAAGTGAGGCTGTACACCAAAAGCGGCATCAACAAAAAAGCGTAGTCTGTGTGCTCTTTCACATCTCCAGACTACACATTGCAGGTGATAGTTGCACAAAAGAAAAGAAGCAAATCACACTATGAACACTGAAACCAGGAACCTGCTCGACCTTCAAGTAGAGGCTGGCTCCAGCTGGCAAGATGTGATTACAGCTGGTGTTCACAAGAACTGGACTTAAGCGAGAAAGAGAAAGAGAGAGAGAGAGAGAGAGAGAGAGAGAGAGAGAGAGAGAGAGAGAGAGAGAGAGAGAGAGAGAGAGAGAGAGAGAGAGAGAGAGAGAGCGAGAGAGAGAGAGAGAGAGAGAGAGAGAGAGAGAGAGAGAGAGAGAGAGAGAGAGAGAGAGAGAGAGGGAGGGAGGGAGGGAGGGAGGGAGGGAGGGAGGGAGGGAGGGAGGGAGGGAGGGAGGGAGGGAGGGAGGGAGGGAGGGAGGGAGGGATCCTAAATACCACAACGGATACATACTGATTTGAAAGCTTAGGTGACTTGAACAGCTTCACGAGAAAGGTGTTCAGACCGTCCATGCGGTGCACGATGAAAGCTACACAGCAAGAGGAACACAAACATGTTGACAGTGTGATCATGACGTCACAGACACAGAAGTCACAGCAATATCTGTAAAGCTCAGTGCCTATTGAAAAAATTAAAGGTTCGCATGAAACTCAATAATTCTGTGTTTTCCGCATCCGTAGGAATGCTGCCGCCCTCTAGGATCAAAGGCGCAGATGCAGTTCCTAAAGCGGTGGTGGTGGTGGTGGTGGTGGTGGTGGTGGTGGTGGAGATGGTGGTGAGAACACCAGACTAGGAGATCATTTACATGATAATGCAAGTCACCTTTTCATTGGCTAGTGCCACTTGATTGTGAATACCGGTAAATAAATAAATAAAAGAAGTCATGATGTACCTGTCAACACAGCGTACTACAACTCACCCGTATCAAAGTTGTTGAGCATCACTCGCTTTCCGGGCAGCTTGGGTGGAGAGAGGCCGGCCTTCTTGAGCTGTCCACAGATACAGACACAAGCGTGCACGTAGATATGCGCAAGCACACACACATAAGCAGGCAGACACACACACACACATGCACACAAGCACATACACACAGGCATGCACACGCACAAGGCTTTGACACATGGAGTCTTGGTTCTGTGATAGTAATTCACGCCACCTACGCCAGTCGGCCGGATACCAGGCTCAACAGGCGTCTTCTGGTTTAAAAAAATGGAGATGATGAAGAGAAATCCCCTTCCGACAAGGAAAGCATCTATGACAGAAAGTAGTTTTTTGAAATATGCTGACGTGCAGGGCTTCAAATCATTGTCCGTGCCTCCTAGAACAGTGTCATCCCTTCCCGGATAAAACCCGCGTCCTAACCAGAATAGTTTTCAACTCGGTCTAGAAGAGAACGTCGCTACCCAGCACGGGATGAAAACAATACACATAGCTCTGCACCTCATGCATGCCGACTTGGTGGGTAGAATGAAGTTGAGTCGCAGTGAAGAGACCGTTGTTGGGAGTTGAAGGAGCGAAGTTTTATACATGCATATCTACCCTCTTGAACATAATTACTGTGACAGCTACAAGGTTGCACGCAACCCAGTTCTGGGTACAGTTTTCTGATCATCTAGTTATCAATTTTCACGGGCTGCTTGTGTAATGATATACAGTAGAGTCGCACGCTGAAGAATGTGGAGCCCAAGAACGTCTAGCCTGAAATTCTAAGAACGCCACAGCCTAAAGCTAAGAACGCAATGTTGGTTTTCTGGCAGCTTATGGGATACATATGATCCAGGACGGATTGTTTCTAAGAACGTGCTATAAAAACGCAGCCAGACTGCTGACAAAATAAGGGCTAACCCCTTAGAAACAACGTTCTTGCGCGCCCGACTCTACTGTAGTATTGAACGATAGCATGTGGCGTGCAACTCTGCATTGCAAATACTGGAGTGGGCACACTCTTGGTGGATAATGGGCTTTTCATATTACGTGTCCAATGACTTCAGTAGGGGCACTGCAGGAAGTCACCAAGCGGATGTATGACCCACCCCACCATGACCGGAACTCTCTTTCTCTCTGCCTCTGTCTCTCCCTCCCTCCCTCCCTCCCTCTGTCTCTCTCTCTAGGTTGGCGTAACTGCAGGCGGCCTATCATTTGTTCACTGTGTCCCTGCAGTCCCGCTGGACGTACCTACAGCGTATGATCCCTGCTGATCCGGCTGTGTATTTGCCACTGGACGTCATAATTGCCGAGGATTTGCTGCCTGCACTAACTGGTCACAGTTTAGTTCCTGCTGGCGATTTGCACCATTTATTATCATGCAATGCCTGTGAGGAATGGAGGCCTTGCGATGTGTATTGCGAATATACGTGCTGGGGCAGAGCGTCTCCTGTGCCGCAGCGCTACTGATCCGATGGGTGCGCGTGTAGTGGTGGGCTTGGGCAAACGTTCTGTCGCAGATGTCATCTCAGTTTGCCGGACTTTAGCAGCGCAGATCCGTGTCCAACGTTGAACGCAGCTGATAGGCACTGGAACAGCTCAAGCCTTCCATATCTGGTCAGCAGTGGCTCCTGGTGGACGTGGCTGGCAAGGAGGGTGTAACGACATGGCTTGGGACTCACCCCCTCGTTTTCATCGCTGGTACCGTATTTAACGAATCCGATTTTAGAGACGCCCTATGTCTGCGGTATGGCTTGCCCCTGGGTGGCGTTCCCCTGTGATGTGTCTGTGGGAAAGACATGACGGGTCATCATGCACTGACTTGCGCTAGTGGAGGGTACCCCAAGCAGCAGCACAATGAGCTGAGGGACCTGCTTGCTGATGCCCTGGCTGGTGTTGCTTGCAACGTGGATGTGGAACCTCCTCTGATGCCGCTCCAGGGCGAGGCAGTAGCTGGTAACTCGGCCGATGTATAGTAACGAACATGCGAGAGAAATGTGAATGTGAAATGTACATGTAAAAAGAAGAAGAAGTCTGCTGGGATGACGATTACACCATAGCTCAGTGGTTAGAGCATCGCTAGCTACAAGCGAGGGTCCCTGGTTTGAGTCCTGGTGGTGACAGTCAATTTTTTCTTCAGACATTTCCCGTTCGTGTCTTTCCCTCAAACTAGTGAAGAAGAAGTGTTCAAAACGGTTTTCTCGTTACGATCTTCAGTGAACGTACGCAACTATGGATGGAATACTAAATCAAACACTATTATGGCGGACAGAAAGAGGTGCGAAAAACGAAATAGAGAACAAAGCAACTAGAAAAGCACTAAAATGAGCAGAAAGTGAAATGCTTAACAGTGCATTTCTCTTGCATGTTCGTTATTATTGTAATAAAACATGGTTACCGCACAGTTGGTACTCTTGATTGCCATATTAAAGTTGCTGTCTCCGAAAGCAAATGTCCTCTACACAGCTGGGGCACAATGCATAGCAGAGGGGCTGGGCCATTGAGGGTAATGGGTCACTCTCACTCTAGATTCTGATCCCTTCCGCACACACACATAATAATTATATATGAACATATCACTGCCTTCTTGTGACTTGAGAGGATTGAAGCGTTACAAAATAGTAACTTGATCTCCAATGAAAGCCAGACTGATGTAGAGGTAGAGTTCCCCTGTCACGTTGGTCAGTGTCTCGGTTGCTCCAGTACGCTCATGACGACCGACTAACGTGTGATTGTCACAATCCAATGACATGTGAATTACGTCACCGGCTCTCCATGGCTGACCCAGTGCACTGCCTGTCCAGCTACTAGCCCCGGTGCTATTGCTGCTGTGCCATCCAAAAAATGTGGTCTTTCCCCCTGAAAATGTGTCGAGTCGTCGACTTTGGGCATTACAAAAGGAGAACAGGTGGTAAACTTTACCAGCAGAGATGCGATCAAGACGGAGGGATATCTCGTGTTTGCCGCTACTCCATTTCCTCATGCCACATACTGACCTCCAGCAATCGTTAGAAGCAGTTCCACGAGTGACCGTTCGGTTGTCATTTGACAGAATAAGATGAGCATGGCATTGGCTGGGGTCAAACTGAAGTGGATCCACAATGGTAACTGTTGCAGGACTTCCAGTTACATGGTGATCTCTGATCATGGCTGATACCTGCACTGAACCCTTCTTTCCGGTCGTCTCGTACGTTGCAATTATCATGATGTCAGTACCTTCATTAGGACTACTGTTGGGCGTCATCACAGGATGAATGGTGCTGGTGTTGTTGTCCGCAGATGTTACTTCAACGTGAACACCAGACAAATGTGATTCCGTCACAGCCAGACTATCACCGCGGCCATTCCTTGGCTCAATGATCACAGTAAGGTCGTCTCCCTCCACAACACTGGCTGCAGTAGTCATGGTGCTCTTCTCCGATGACAACGTGCCAATGTCACTGACAACACCAGTTCTGGCAATGGCTGCAGTCAGCTCCTTGACGTGGTATGGTGAAAACAATAGAGTTCCCGGGGCAAACACCGTCACATCTCTCTCGGACGCACTCACAGCATTCTTCGCTGCTTCCTCCAGCCATCTACTCATCTTCAAAAAATTCACATCCTCATTGCAGTTCTCTGCCAGATGTTGAACTTTCTTGCTATACGAGGCACCAGCAAGTATCTGCCGGTTCTGCTCTTCAAGGGGAAGAAGATGTAACAACTGCAATCGATCCACCTCACCCAGAAGCTCCTGCTGACGGTTTTCAATAGCTTTCTTCAGACCACCAAATACGTCATTGATACGGGAGGACACAGTTTCTGTCTCATCACGGAGTCCACTCAGTGCCCCTTCAGACTTCTTGATTGACTCGTCAAAAACACTGCCACTTCCATGTGACGTGCTACGCAGCTTGGCTGTCAAGGACTGACGAATGCTAGAAGATGCTTCAGTGATGGTCTGCACATTGTGAGCAGCATGAGCACCACTGCTTACACATTGCTTACACACTAGCTGCTCACAACTCAAGCAATACGAGCACTGTACAAACGAGGGGTGCAATGAGCACTTGTGATGGTTGACTGATGTTCTATCACCTGTATGACCCGCAGCCTCACTGAGTGGCACAACCTTGTGTTTGTATGATCGGCGTGAGGTTGGATGCATAGTGGCATGGCCAGTACAGAAATGGTCCCCACAGTCCAAGCAAACAGCAACTGCTGCAGTAGCCTCGGCACACTCATCACACAACTTTGTGTGGGCAGCACTTGCAGCAGCTACCTCATCACTAGACACATCACTGTCTGGCAGGTACTGCAGCAAGGGCACACCAGTAGTCGATGCTGGAGTGGCTGTTCCACATTCAGCACAACCCACAGAGCCCTTGCCACTGATGAATTTTTCCAAGCACTCCACACACAATGAGTGGAGACACTTCAGCAGCTTGCCATGCTTACTGCTACTTCTGCACGACCCACACTCTGGTCTGGACATGGCTAACCAACACAGCTGCACACACACAACACCCTGACTTCAATCTGACCAGTAGATACACCAACACAGAACACTCTCAACTCAAGTCTCTGTATGCAGCACAACACCAAGCCTATTCGATTTATTTGGCAAAAATGATTTTTCATTCATCCGCAAATGTTTTATCACCAGCAACTAAAAATACTAGTGCCCACTTCAGGCTTAGTTACTTAGCCTGAAGTGGGCACTAGTATTTCTGTGACCTGGCTTGATACTGATAGGAGCCACACTTTAGAGACTACTACTAGTACTAGTAGTAGTAGTAGGCCCAGGCAGATTCAGCTCCTCTGTACTCCAAGCACTGGGTTTTCATTCTGGTCACTGTCACTTGTCAGTGATGATGTACATAGAGTCATAGTCATCATGTGTATGTCCCTGAGTCTTGGCTTTCCCCTGCACTGCTGTCAGACTCACTAAACCACTGTGTGTGTGTGTGTGTGTGTGTGTGTGTGTGTGTGTGTGTGTGTGTGTGTGTGTGTGTGTGTGTGTGTGTGTGTGTGTGTGTGACAGTGTGTGTGTGTGTGTGTGTGTGTGTGTGTGTGTGTGTGTGTGTGTGTGTGTGACAGTGTGTGTGTGTGTGTGTGTGTGTGTGTGTGTGTGTGTGTGTGTGTGTGTGTGTGTGTGTGTGTGTGTGTGTGTGTGTGTGTGTGTGTGTGTGTGTGCGTGACAGTGTGTGTGTGTGTGACAGTGTGTGTGTGACAGTGTGTGTAGTGCTAGGGCAGAGTAGTGCTGGAACGATTTTATTTCTCTGGCCAGAACCTTAGGTGTGCATGCATTGTCAGTACAATCATGCTGTTTGTTTCAGCATGGTATTCTATTGTCCAGGTTTCCAAGCTCTTCCGTGATTGCATTGTACCAGTATTCAAGTAAGATGTCGGTAGCCGTATTCAAAAACTGTATCCCAATGAGTCATGCAATGAGTCATGCAACATTGGTACTACAATAGACCTGGGGATACAGTACTGTCTGTACTTACATCCGCGTGCAGGTTGCTAAACGCATTGTAGCGCCGGAACACGAACCAGCTCCGCTGTGGCGTCTGCACGAGCACTTTATAAACCTGGCAGTGGCAGTTCGTGTGCAACAACACACAGCAGTTCAAATCAACAATTGCCACTGTGTTTTAGCCAACAATTATTTTGTTCGTCTCTCAGCTGCTGGAGAATACATAAATTATCAACACTGGCAGCGGTATTTACCGTGAATCGTCTGCCTTCCACCCATGTTTCATATCCACTGATGGAGACACGATCACAGTTCACCGCCATGCTGGCGGCCATCAAAAGTAAACACCGCAGAAACTCTCGACCTTCTTCACACCACCGACCATGCAAGATGCCTTTGTTTTGCTGCCGAGCCGGATATCGAATCGTGGTTTGGGGACCCGATGGCATATCCGGCATATATGTACAGTAATAATTATATGCACGTGCAGGTCAGGTGCATGCGCATGTGATACGTGTACGTAGTATATCTACGTACGTACGCATATGGTGCCACAACGCCTTTGCCACGCGCATATATGGAAATGCCTTCTTTCAAAAGCCTTTCTGCACATAATATTCCGGGCAGTTTGTCAAAGAAAGGTTTTGCAGAAGCAGTGCATGCTGGTTACTCTGCTCTACTAATTACTTGTTCTCCGTGGCATCAGTACTAAACTTCGTGATTAGACATCAGAAATGGCACTCGTGTGAAGGATACTTATCCATTTTGTTGTGCTTATGGTGGGTTGAAAGCAGGGAGTAGTACAATACCGTATTGTACTACTCCCTGGTTGAAAGTACGGAAGCGCAATTATTCGAACTTCGAGGCGAGGCCCCATATGTACTCTTGAAAATACGGATATCATTTCTAGCAAGAGTACATAAACCAAAAAGGTTTATGTACTCTTGTTTCTAGTTCTTGGCCTAGCTATGCGTGAGTCAGAGAGGAAAATTAATTATTTATTTGCACTTCTTCTGTAAAAGTGTTTGGCTCTTGAGGGCAATGACCGCGTGACTTCAGCTTGGAATATTCCCTCCTCACCATGCTTCTCTGACTTCTTCTGAGATTCTCCAAATGCAAATGGATGCTTATCAAAGAATACGACTGGTGAGGGCGAAGGGGAAAATTGAAGTTTCCGATACCTTTCACCGACTCGGAGTTCTCATGGTGGACATAGTGCCTGCGCACGGCCTTCATCGAAGGCGCTACGAGTACTCGACAGGGGGCTGGCCCTAGGGCCTAGGGGTGAGCCCTTATTCACCGGGGAACTAGGTACAGTGTAACTGGTTGAGCGCCTTGCCGACGTAGCCTAGCCGCAGTGGCACCACATCCTCACGCAGCTTTCCTCTTCGGTCCGCGCCACCGGTGGATACCGGTACATCCAACGTACTATGCCCCCTGCTGGTGATCACATGCAGCCTCTACAGGATGCTATTCTCAGCCGTCTACTAGTACTACCAGCTCTGACCAAGCATGAAGTGAGCAATTAATTTATTTGGAGATGGAGATGGTGGCTTGTATTTTGGCAGCCCTGTCCTGGACTCTGCACGCAAGCACGCTGCTTTCTTTGGACTGTGCATTGCTCAGCACGATACATGTGACCACCCAGATCTCCACTGGCGGATCTGACGGATCTGAGTTGTTGGAGAGCATTTGGCTGGACCAGGGGTAAACGTCGGTAGTGCGGATTCGCCACCAATCACGCATGCAGCATTGCTGGCAATAGCTGCCAATGCCAATGGTGAAGCCCGCTTACCGCAGTTGCAGCAACGAGCAATGGCCTTGGAGCCTAAACGCATTCTTTGACACAAGCAATGGCCTTGGAGCCTAAGGGACCATCGCAAAAGTTCGCAGAAGCCCCTGAAACGAAGAGCATACGTTTCGGGGGGAGGGAGTCGGTGTCGAAAATAGCAAACCGGGCTTCAATTCAAAAAAGTATTGACGACATGTAGGGGCTGATATAGATTAGCATGCTCAAAGGATACAACTGCATAGCTCTAGCTGTTCTCGTTCTTAGATCACCCACTGCAAGGTGATATCATCGTTGCATTTATAAAGTGCTGTACATTGTTACACACTGATACAACAATGCTTGTGTAGTATATTCTAATAATTATTATGTGTGAGCATCCAAGTGAAATAATGAAGCCCATATTGTGACTGTCGTTTCGTTTGAGGGGGGAGGGAGGGGGGTCAGGCCCGAAACTAATGGTCTTCGTTTCGGAGGCTTCTGCGAACTTTTGCGATGGTCCCTAAACGCATTCTTTGACACAGGTTTTTTTTATCCTCACTCGTCAATCTGTTGTGCCAAATCCCTCCCTTCACTCTACGAAAGGTTTGAAGGTGGGAAGAGGCGAGCGCTCTAGCGTAGATCTACGGTGAACGGTCACGGGACCGTTCACCGTAGATCTATGCCAGCCTGGCTCTTCGGATGACCACACGGCTGCTTCTACAGTCAGTGTTTGTGGGCCCATATCAGTTATCACCACAGGAGCCTGAGGAGGATCCGGAAACACCAGCGGTGTGAAAGAACTGCTCGACTTCGACGGCCACCAAAAGAAAAAGAACGTCGCCCAGGGCATAATTAGGAGGGTCACAGTGTCTTAGCTGTGGCCTGGTATTCATTTCTGACACACTACAACTGTAGCTAGGTCTGTCCATTGTCAGCCGTGGACCACCAGTTGGCCGTCGTCTTTTCGACCTCGCGCCTGTCGACCTCCGGAGCTCACCAAGTCCAAGTGCGCAACTGTCAGTCTGCCCTCATATCAGTGCCGCGAGGCTCGTCTGGGTTCATGCAGCTCAGCTCAGCTGTCAGGCCTTAAGTCAGGGGAACGGCATATAAAAAACGAGAAAGAAGAAGAGGCTCGAGCGAGTCGAGGGTAGATGGGTAGACCATGTAGACGGCGCTGAGCGAGCTCCATGCGGTGCATGCACACTACTGCACTGTTACTAGCGCGAAACCGTCATATCCCCCTGGACTGTTGACTGTTGACTGGTCAAGTGTCAAGGCCGATTCACAATACAACTTTCTGCGACGCGACACGCGATTTGCGACAGTTGCGACAAGAAACTGCCTGTCGCGAGCTGTCGCAAGCTGTCGCAAGCTGTCGCAATGCACCTGTCGCAGAAGTTGAAGAAAGTTCAACTTTTGCGACATGCGACACGCGACATACACAAATGGAGTACAGTTTCGACCCTGGGTGCACGTGCAGTGCACGTGCATAGTACTACTTGTGCATGAGGATGTCGCAAACATGAAGAATATTGTGAACCGTGTGTCGCTGTCGCAGCTCGTCGCATGTGTCGCAAGTCGCATGTCGCGTCGCAGAAAGTTGTATTGTGAATCGGCCTTTAGCTGTCAAAGCCTTAAGGCCGATTCACAATACAACTTTCTGCGACGCGACAGGCGACTTGCGACACATGCGACGAGCTGCGACAGCGACACACGGTTCACAATAGAGAGGTTCTGCACAACGAAAATTCGAACGAAGTTTCGCGACAGGCCTTGCGAAAATGTGTACGAAGTTTCGCACGAACTTTGTGTTCTGCACATTTTCGTAGTTTGCACCAGGGAGTAGTACAATACATATAAATGGTATTGTACTACTCCCTGGTTTGCACTCGCCAAGTGCACGTACGACATGACCCAATCTCACGAAACTTCCTACGAAAGTTCATTTCGCGTTCCCTGCAAGTTTCGCGTCCAAAGTTGCGAAAGTTCGTGCGAAGTTTCTCACTTCGTGACGTAGAGCGAAAGTTCGTACACATTTTCGTTCTGCAGAACCTGGGTGCACGTGCAGTGCACGTGCATAGTACTATACTTGTGCATGAGGATGTCGCAAACATGAAGAATAATAGATATTTGTGTATGTCGCGTGTCGCATGTCGCAAAAGTTGAACTTTCTTCAACTTCTGCGACAGGTGCATTGCGACAGCCTGCGCGTGCGACAGGTTGCGACAGCTCGCGACAGGCAGTTTCTTGTCGCAACTGTCGCAAATCGCGTGTCGCGTCGCAGAAAGTTGTATTGTGAATCGGCCTTTACCGTTACGTGTCATGATCTGATGAAACGTGACGACATCGATGCTAAAAGCGGAAATAATGATTATCGCGCGCAAAATTAATTAAAAAAAGAAGAAGGTACGAACATTAATTTTGTAAAAAAACAACGTATTATTATCTGATCTCGAGAGGAAAAGGCGGTGTAAAGACTTTGCAGAGAGAAACACAACGACAAGGCCAGAGCTAGAGCATCCTTTACTAGTTGTGTGCGTGAGAGGCTACTGATCGTGGTCTGTTCTTGTTGGCGGTGTGTAATTTCTCATCCTTGGCATATCCCGTAACTGGTTTCTCTTGTTTAGAACGATAACAGTGGTTCAATATCTCAAAAGACTTTAGAAAATTGTTGACTCATATCTAATAATCGAAGTCTTGAATATGGCTATTGACAAGTCTGAGCTGAGGCAGCTTGTTTGCGACAAGCTGATAGCAATCAGCTGCTATATCGATGATGAGCTACCTGATTACATTGTGGCCATGGTCATCAACGGGAAGAGTCGTGAGCATATGAGCAAAGATCTTAGCGTTTTCACTGGAGGACAGTCAGACGATTTTCTTGACTGGCTCATGAAGACTGTGCATGACATGAGCCCTGGCACTCAGGTGGCAACAGCACCCATCAAGTCAACAGTACGTATGGTCGCCAGAGATGAACACAGCCACGTGTCATCGCGGCATTCTTCTCGAAGCGCCAGCTCTCAGAACGACCAGCCTAGCAAGGCAAGCAGTAGTTCTGGCAATGCCAGTACTAGCCACCGCCTGCTGAGTCTGGCCGTTGCGAAAGCTGCAGCCGACACCAAGCCGGCTGTTGCGAAAGCTGCGGCTGACACCAAGTCAGCTGCAGCCAGTGAGGACAGCACCAGCTGTAAGAGACACCCGCAGCCCGTTGCAGAGGGTTCGTCGTCCTCTCATTCCAGCAGCACCGGCGGCAGTAGTAGTAGCAGAGAGCGACGACGGCCGCGCCGCACATCCTCACCAGAGCATCGTCACAGGGAGTCCTCTCGTAGCTCTAAAGCACGCAGCACCGCTGACAAGCCGCCCAGTGGCGAGAAATCGTCGACGAAAACCAAGTTTATTGTAACCCTGGATGGAGCCGATAAGCTGAAAGGCTCGTCGGCCAAGCCAAGAGAAGTCGTGGATCCACCAGAGTCTGAGCAGCCCTCCACCAATGTGGTTCAGTTCATAATTAATGACGATCTTAAGCGCAAGCATGTTGAAGTTGAGCAGGTCAGTGATGATGTCGAGACGGAGCAGAGTGCATTGACTGCTGACCCTGCTGACATACCACTGGAGAGTTTAACCGAGCCTGCTGCCAAGCGTCCAATGGAACGCTGCCGCTTCTGGCCCAACTGCACTGCAGGCGATGCGTGTCGGTTCCATCACCCCAGCGTGCCGTGCCGTAAGATGCCCGCATGCAAGTTTGGTGCGCAGTGCCTCTACCTGCATCAGGACTGCAAGTTTGACGGCCGCTGCACCAAGCTAGACTGCCCTTATGTGCATCGTCTCAAGCCAGGTCAGTTCAACACCGCTGCCACTCCCGCCAGTGGTGTGCCGAGTAGCACTACTACTCCAACTGCTGCTGCTGCTGTGGCTGGCAAGCCTGCACCATCCAGCACTATTTGCAGGTTCCACCCGGGCTGCATGCGTGACTACTGTCCGTTCCTTCACCCCACGGCGTGTCGCTATGCAAGCAACTGCACGCGAAGTGGTTGTAACTTCTACCACGCTCCGGCAGCCAGCGAGCCACCTCAGCTGCCTGGTCGCAACGCCTTCCGCTGGACAGCCAAGAAGGATCACGTCAGTGACCGCAAATTTGCTGTCGAGGCCGCAGGCGAGTCTGTCATACCCGCTGATTCGGCCGCTTCATCAGCTGCTGCCCAATCTACGGTTGTAGATGCGTAGGCATCATCTCCAGCAGCACATTTCCAACTGCTGAACATTTGCTCGTCCTTGTTTTTGGGAATCCCCCTGCCACTCATTGGCATTCAAAGGCAACTTTGCCGATGTGTTCCTTTACCAGTGAGCTTGTCAAATCATCTGAAGACCTGTTTCCGGTAACAGTGCTGGACTGGTCTTCTTTTTGCGACTTGATGACGTGGTAATGTGTTTTATTTTGCGTGCTTTTGACAAGTGCGTGCAGCATTAATGCCATGTCCTGTACTATCATAGCTTGTTGGCAAGCCATGCCGCTTGTTTTAGACACCTGGCCGTGCTGATGTTGATGGCCACGACACTGACGATCTGTTCTCCAGTACTTCAGGCAATGTTATGCGTGTTTGTACTATCCGAGTCACAGCTGGTCGTCTTACGTACGTGTATGCCTGTGTTACACAGTGTAGATCAGTGGGATAATATATAACCTCCAGTGATCTCTCCACAGGCGTTGGCGTGTCATGTTTTGTTGTAGTTTGTAGCAGTTCTGGTTATCGTTGCACATTGCTAGATATAGACACCTGCCCCCTAGCCTGTAGATTGGGTTTATTAAAATAATCTTGTTTCCTGCGTCTGCTTTCCAGTCTTGAGAGCACGCTCCAGCTATTTCCCTCTGCGCTCTTGTCACTGTCATTGCCATAGTTACTCTGGTTTTCTGTGCCCCTCTCTTTCTCTCTCTCTCTCTCTCTCTCTCTCTCTCTCTCTCTCTCTCTCTCTCTCTCTCTCTCTCTCTCTCTCTCTCTCTCTCTCTTTTGTCTCTCTATCTATCTATATCTATCTATCTATCTCTCTCTTTCTCTCTCTTTCTCTCTCTCTCTTTCTCTCTCTCTCTCTCTCTCTCTCTCTCTCTCTCTATCTATCTCTCTCTCTCTTGCTAGAATCTGGAACTAACAGTTAATAACTTGGCCAGGATCGTCATGTCCCTGTGCCTTTGTCACAGCCGCTTAAAGGGGAAGTTAAGGCAAAATTCAAAATTTCACCAGTTGTAGTCTTCGGGTTGCTGAGTCGAATGGTCTTGGTCCGAGAAAGCTGAGACGCTCCCTTCCTACTTGAATCCCAATCGAACTCGCGCACTTCCACCGAAACTGGGTGACTGCGCCCTACTGGATGGGGATTTGTATGCAAAATGTCACTAAAAGCGCCATTCCGTTCTTATAAAAGCACGGATGACCGGGATTGGCCCATATGTTGTAGTCTTTTGGACGCGGAGTCGACTGGTTTTGGTCCGAAAAGGCTGCGATGCAGCGTCCGGCCCCTATTCCCAATCGAACGTGGTTGAACAAGCGGTCACGTGCTCCTGGGTGCCCAAATCACCTGGTCACCACGCCAACAGGCGACAACTTTCACACCAAGGTTCAACTCGATTGACAGGACTGCACCCAAAAAAGGTCAAACAGGCTAGTAAGTTGTACCCCGCAGGCACGGTGACCAGGTGACTGGTGTACGCAGGAGCACGTGACCGCTTGTTCAACCATGTTCGATTGGGAATAAAGGAGGAACGCTGCATCGCAGCCTTTTCGGACCAAAACCAGTCGACTCAGCGTCCAAAAGACTACAACATATGGGCCAATCGCGGTCATCCGTGCTTTTATAAGAACGAAATGGCGCTTTTAGTGACATTTTGCATACAAATCCCCATCCAGTAGGGCGCAGTCACCCAGTTTCGGTGGAAGTGCGCGAGTTCGATTGGGATTCAAGTAGGATGGGAGCGTCTCAGCTTCCTCGGACCACGACCATTCGACTCAGCACCCCGAAGACTACAACTGGTGAAATTATTATTTTAATTTTTGCCTTTTAACTTCCCCTTTAACCCACGTTTGAATTTTTGAAGGTCAATTTGTCTCAGATATAGGCACATACCGTTAAGTCTTGCACTTGAATAGAAGCCGCAATTTTGGGCCCATCAAATCACACGTAAGCCTGGTTTTAGTGTTGACATACATAGAAATACCTGTCTTGTGTAGAAGCCTGCAAAATTTCACCAAGAAAGTCCTAGAAGCCGCGGCTTTTATACAAGACTTTACGGTATGCGCATGTGCTTGTAATAATGTTACCAGTGTGGAATTCGGAAATTGCACAAGGCTAGATTGGGTTCACTTATAAGCCTATGCGACTTTTTTGTGAGGGTGTATTTAGTATTACACCCGGATAGGCACAATGCACCTGCCAATCTTGGTCGTAGAGTACTGTGCTTTTGCAGATATAATTATAATAGGGAGTAAGCCTTTCTAGCTTCACCAAGACTCACACTCACAGTATAAAACCAGGGCTTTCGACTCCACAGACTATTTTTAGCAAGAGTGCATAAACATTGTTTTTGGACTCTTGTTTTTAGCTATTATGTACACTGTAACCAGGGAGTACTAATATTAGTACTTCAAGAAGTAATACTAATAGTACTATGTATCTAATATTGACTGAGTACGAGGTCAATAGGAAATAAAAGCCGAGTAAAAGACCGAGGCGACGCCGAGGTCTTTTACGAGGTTTTATTTCCTGTACTGACCAAGTACGAAGTCAATATTAGATTTATCGCGACAAACAGTCCGTATTTCAAATTCCAGAACGATAACCTCATGAATCCCGCTTTTATGATTGCACAACCGTTGCACCACCACTACTCATGCAGTGACAATGCTGCACTAGGCACCGTTCAACTGCGCAACCCCTAAGCAGTCAAATATAAGCAGTCAATATAGCCCTAAGGAGTGAAATATGCAGGAATATTTGACTGCTTAGATAGCGAAAATCAATGGGAGTCAACATACTAAGGCCAAAAAGGGAGTGATAATCCATCTTCTAGTAGCTTACAATGACGTCATTAGCGGCAACGGTAACTATGGTACCAGCTCAGGTCCAGCTGCTTGTGCCGAACGCCTGCGCCTGCACTGCCACAGCCTCACACGAGTCACAGGCCCACACTGCCACAGCCAGTCAAACAGACCCGCATACGCAAGAATCAAGATCACTTCGACTGGTCTGGGCTGTACCGGCCAAAAGCTGTCTGTAGACTGTAGATCTACTGACTACACTGACTCTGTAGACTGTACTTCACTGCTGCCACTACTGACTGTAGTGTAGTGTAGCCTGCAGGCGGGAAGAGTCAGAATGACCATGAATCCATGATGACCGAGAGTAGAATGTTACTTCACAAGTACTAAGTTAGTTCGACATCCAAACATTTCGTCAATGAGAAAAGGCACAGGCCGGAAATGCTAAATTTGCACAACATTCTCTCGGCGGTATCTTTCCATCTAGTGAGCTCTATCACAATATCAGTCCAAGGGTGTTGCCGCATGTGCACGGTTCACTAGCTTGGCAAGTATTAGTTGCTTGAACTAATTTCCTCGGAGTTGAGGGCAGTAGGTGCTCTTTTCATCGCAGTAATTGGCGCTGCCAGGGTACTTGTAGAAGAGCTCACCGCTTATGATCACCGTTGGAACTAACTGCTACTTGTTGCCTCTCCGCCATTCGGAATAACAGCGCTATCGATATAAAAATAATTAATTGTCGGTGTCGGATTCCAGCACTGAATTGAAGGGGTGAGCCAACTTCCAGTGATCCAGTGGCTAGTGTGTGTACAAGCAGCAGTTAGTGCTTGCACCACTTCAAGTCTTCACTGATCGGCCCGGGAGCGCTGAGACGGGACTGCAGCGGCCATGCCGACGCATGGGCTGGGAGTCAACACCAGCAACCGATTAGCAGGGGTGGGTGCAGACCAGCGGTTGAATGCATTTCTGTAATAATCACTTCATTACATTGCTTCGACACTGTTGTTTGTACACGTAATTGTGCTTATGACCTTTCATACAAACTTCCAGTCACCTTCCCCATCATGCAGGTGGTTTATACTAGTATTGGGCATATAAACCCCAGCTCAATATAAACCCCATATAAACCCCATATAGACCCCACACATGTATAATTATGCCGTTGCCCCGTAGTTGACTGTCAGTTTGTATGAAGGTCAGCATAAGTATAATACATCCCACTAGTACGCTTGTACGTGAAATATAAACCATCATACAAACCTCGGCTGCGCGTCGGTTTGTATATCGGTTTATATTTTCACTGTTGAGATGTATACATATTATGTACCCATGGTGACTAGCACTGAGTAGGCCCTACTTAGCAATGTAGTACTAATAGTACTTAGTAGATGGAGGCCATCTGGTCCTGGACTCTAGCTGAGCGGCTAGGCTGTGTAGATCTATAATGCCGAATGGACTCAGTTGTGCATAGTGAACCTGCAGCACCGTATAGTCTATGACGGTATGCATAGAAGCACTGGAGTGCTCTGTGATTGTTACGGCAGTGTTTGGCTCACACATTGCGGCGCGTGCATGGTACCAATACGATCATGTACAGTTGTCGGAGTACCTGAGGTCCTCTCCCAGCTGGCCTCTGTGAACATGATTCACGCCAGTCAGCCTGGGTGAACCACTGAAATGGGTACTCCCGTTGTATGGGCACGAGTCACTACCAGTGAGGCCTGGGGAAGAGGGGGTGTGGTGGGGGGCAATGTCAGTGTTCAATCCTCTGAGCCGGCTCGATGTCGGTACAAAACCGACAGCACGCGTAAAGCCAATCACTGTATATTGAAGCATGGAGAGGTCCGGAAACTTGCGGAAAGTGGTCCGTTCCGCCCACTGTTTACTGGTGATACATGTATGTGAACAAAACTTAGGTCAGTTACTGAGGTCAGTTACTGAGGCATGCATGTACATGCTAAGCACTAGCAATAACTTCATGGCCGTGGTGGTGTCATCATTTCTCCTATTGCATGTCACATGCTTTCAAAACCAAGTAGCTGCTGTGAAGCCCGTGCAAGCAGGGCGTCACGCCGTCAGTCCATGTAGAAACTAAAAGGCAACTGCAGCCTGTTGGGTCACCGATGTGTTGAACAACTAACTTGCCCCTACGTTGCCTTTTGACATGCACAATGTATCAATATTGCTAATCCGAGCCTTACCACAGTGCTCGGGGATTGGATCGAAGCTGCTACTCGCCCTAGAGCAAGTATCTCTTCCATGGTGCTGTCACTCTATGCCCCCACTCGCCCCAAAGGAGCTGAAGGCCAAATCCAATCCTCCAATTTCTACTGGACTTTGTTACCCCCTGTTATGCAGCAGCCATCTACCAATGACTTGCGATCCAGCAATGTCATCCTCTTCGACACATCCAAGCGAGAGCTCTTCTCACCCACCAGTGGTTTCAAGACACTGACGAGAAAACTGCGGTCGTCATGGCGGATAGCAGTGTGAGTTTTCTTGAGCTTCGCCAGTACTGTTTTGATCAGTGCATGCGTTGTGTGCCGCGAATTGTGGAAGATCTCAACAAACATGCATGTAGGAAAACATCAGTGTGTGTGTGTGTGTGTGTGTGTGTGTGTGTGTATCTGATAGTGGCACGCTGTTGGGTGTTGACATGTCCGATAGTGATTACTAGTAGCTTGGAGACAAACATTTGGGGCCTCGCTGCATTCTCATGGAGCATGCACGGATGCCGGACCTCAGGTGATGACAGCCGATCTCTCTTTTACATACCTAGATATCTCGTTTTAACGCACCCGGGTGACCGTGTCCTAAGTGGTGCCGTACAAACATGTCCAGCTAGCATCCCTGTTCATGACGTTACGATATCTTCACGGCGTGTGTAATTTTCAAAGTCACCGTACAGTTAGAACATTGGCCAATGCTAAGGAGTGGATGTTGACCGTCCACAGTTGCTAGAATTATACATGTACTTAATAGGAGACGGAAGCCTGAACGTGGGGTTCTGATTCTATCTACTGTGAAATGACAGACAAAAGGATGAGCTGCAGCTGGAGAAGCTGAACGCGGCACGCATACTGGTGTTTGGCGGGCCACGCGAGAAGTTCACCAGCGCCGAGTTCGAAGCGCTGCGCCAGTACATCGGCGCTGGAGGAAGCGTGCTGATCATGCTGGGCGAAGGCGGGGAGCAGACGTCCGGTACCAACATCAACTTTCTCCTGGAGGAGTGCGGCATCAACATCAATTCCGGTTAGCAAATTGTTGTAGCTCTCCAGTAGCTGGGTAAACTCTCACACTCTATACCTTCTAGATCACCGGGCTTGCAACAGTTCGGCTGTTTAGTGCAGAGTATTGTATTTGTATTTATGGATTCTCCACAGGCCTTAGCCTAAATCAAGGGAGTCTAAGTAGTACATGTATGTTATCACACAGAATATTGCAGTTACACATCTCTCTACATTTTACATGTAGCTGTTGTGCCTCACAAGAGTCACAATCATGCGGCATCCGTATTTCTTCTGTTTGTGCTGGCAGATGAAGTCATTCGGACAGTCTACTATAAGTATCCGCACCCGAAGGAAGCATACATATCGAATGGTATTCTCAACCGGTAAGAACTCTGGACATTAGCTGGAGAACTAAGGTATTGCCAGAGTCTAGTCTTGTGTCTGCTGCGGCATTGTGATTCTCGATGCGTCGTGTCGTTACCGATCATGACGGACAACCTGATGTACTTCTTACAGGTGCATGACGTGTACTGCATCACGGCTTCTATATCCCCTGAGCTGATGTTACATGGACGTAGTGTCTAACCCACCCTGGCTTAGTGGTATGTCTCCACGGTTCACCAGTCATGTCTCGTATACGTGCACCCATACATGTAACAAGTTACTACACATCGAGCGTGAAATGGTACCCGGGAACAGTGTAATGATACTTCCCCAGCATTCGGAGTGTGAGCTGCACTTTGTTTCATTCCGGAAAATGACATGCAGCTGTACCAAGTCAACGCAGGATCTGCACGTTCAGAGCCGCAGGCCGCAGATGTTGATGACTTCACATACTTCTGTCAGAAGGAGCACAAACTTGAAAGGATGTCCAGGCCAAGTGGCACTTTTTGATTTTGGTTCTGGAAGTGTACAGCAGTGTCAAATTATGTTCACTAGCCATCGTGGTAACTGTACAAACTCGCACAGTCTGAATACTGAAGTGGATCTACTTTGTATCTCAATATCGTTTAACATTCTGACACAATTCCTCAGCTATGCCACCGCCACCAGCAGTGCCATAGTCTGGGACGCTGAAGAGTGGAATACACCTCATCTCCAGTGTTTGCCCGCGGGCCGTCATCCTGGAGCAGTTTGAGTTTGAAGGGGTTAGGGGATTATGAACTGGCTGCAGCGAACCCTCTATACCTGATCTCCATGCAAATATAATTGTTTTTGTTTTCATCACAATCTCCGGAATGTCCTCCTGTTTAGGGAGATAAACCGTCGTGCCGGTAAGAAGGTCAGTGCGGATCGGAGTGTGGAAGCAGAAACTGCTGGGTAAGTTAGTGTTAGGCCACAGTCATAAGCAACTTTACAGCCTAGACTTTCTTGGTCACCGTCACCCAATCATAAGCGGCAACTGGTCCATCCCATGTATATACATGTATGACCAGTGTATGTGTATGCCCAGTCACCCAGTGTGCACAGTGAACGGTATGACCAATTTGTGTGTATTTCTGTGTGTATGTACAGTTGTATTATATTGCATGCCAGTCTACCCTTCTCCCCACTCTAGCACTGCAGGGGTAATGCATGGCTAGTATAGGATTTATATTTTACTACCAGTAGTATCTTGTGCTGCTTTTGGCTTGAGGTTTGTTCTTGCTTTTTCCTTACTAAATAGACTTCTGCGATATAACTGTTTAATAGTAGAGAAAGTACGCGAGTCATTCAAGTGGCAAGTCAAGCCGACAGGAAATGCGCGAGCTCCCACGCAGGGAGCAAAACACACTGAAACTCTTTCAGTACTAATAGATAGCTCAGTTTTGATTATTTGGACCCCCCACACTGTTGTGTTGACTTGCAGGAATGTGCACTTTGTGTATCCGTACGGAGCCACGCTGACGCTACAGAAGCCGGCCGTGGCTGTCTTATCAACGGGCAGCGCCTGTTTCCCGCTGAACAGGCCAGTGTGTGCTTTCTACGCACTCAAGAAGGTACATGTATGCCAGTGGCACGACTGTATTGTTTGTCGTTGATTGTTAGATCCAGCTTGCAGCAGTGCCTGGTATGCTCACATACCGGTATTGTGTTTTTACCACTGATTCTTCCCTTGATAAGAGCGATGGGAAGAATGTATCCCAGGGCTGGGCTGGGGATGCACGCACCCTGCAATCGAGTGTTTGCGGCAAGGTCACTCATGTTGTGATCCCGTACAGGGCTTGTCACTCGTTAAATGATTCACGGGACACTCTATTCTCCCAGTGCTGCACGTGTTCAACCTCGATATCGAGAACGCAGGAATTACGCACAAAACGCAAGTGGCCAATCTCAAAACAGTAGTTGTGGAATTAATGATAGTGAGAAGTAGCAATTCCCGAATCACTCAGTCAAATACCTCTGCAACAAAACAGACGAAAAAAACACAAACAAATGACAGCCCGATGACTTAATAATACAGGTTGTCAAAACCTTCCCTCGGCCAATGCCAAAGGACGCAAGGCGTTGATGGGCTGATGATATGCCGATCTTGCTCCTCTGATGCACACACATAACTGCCGCTCTCAACAGGGCAAAGGATAGGTGCTAATAGGCACTAATGGCTTTTCGTCACCAATATTCGACTCCAATCCATGTCCAGTCACAGACCGTTTTTTTGGCGAAACATTGGCTGACCTGCCGGACCTGTTCCTATGCCTCTGTGCTCTACTGCTGTGTGCATACAGGCTCAGGGAAAAGAAGGCCGCATGGCAGTGATCGGTTCCAGTCATATCTTCCACGACAGCTTCATCGACAAGGATGAGAACAGCAAGGTTCTGGTGAGCGCTGCTGTTGATACCATGCTGTTGCCCTGATATGGCGTATTTGTACTGTGCAGGACACTGATCTATTGCAGGACCGGCGGAAGCTGTTTGTGATTGGTCCGGCCATATCCTAGTCTTTCATACAGTTTGTGTATGATATGGAGGGTATACACAGACCGCCTCACAGTAAATACACGTTGGTAGCCTAAAAGTTGGTCCGGTCATGGCCTGACCAACCGGACCGGTTCCGCCGGGCCTGTATTGTCACTAGAGCCTGCAGTTGTAGAGGGGAAGTATGCTTTTGTTGTAGAGTATTACCGAGAGAGAGAGAGAGAGAGAGAGAGAGAGAGAGAGATAGAGGAAGAGAGAGAGAGAAAGAGAGAGAGAGAGAGAAAGAGAGAGAGAGAGAGAGAGAGAGAGAGAGAAAGGAGACTGAAACCTGCCCGGAGTTCTGCAAGGAGTAAGGCTCTTGTGCTGGCGCCTCGCCACAATTTGTAATGTCATTTTCGTAAAAAGAACCTAAGCTTCTCCTTTCATTCTCACGTCAGCCAACGAGGAGTACCACTACTTGTGGTGTATTGTAGAATTGTGTATGGGGTGGACGTTTCACATACACGTAATACTGATAATTATACATGTAGTTACGATTTGCACTGGATGGAATTCGTTCTCTCCATAGTGACATCCACTGTAAATCAGGTGTTTTATTGGGTTCGCATGGGGTGGACTGATTCATTCTCCTTAGGGAAGTCGTTCGGATAAGTTCCAATGCTGGTGACTGTGTCCAATAGTACTTCAAAGTGCAACTATTTGCTCCCCGTGTGGCTTTTTAATGTGATCTTTGTGCTCTTAATTAACATTCAGGATGTCGTTCTAGACTGGCTGACTAACATGGATTTCAAACTGAATAGTATCGATGCTGAGGATCCAGAGGTATGGCAACCCCAGAGGCATACAGACATAATATATCTGCACACACATGCATGAACACACACACATACATACACACAGTTTTCTTGTGCAGTACTTGCACTTGTTCACTGCCAAAACTGGTCACTTGGGTCAATTATACCATACAAGTGTACCTGAAGTACTACATCAGGGCCTGCTCTAGACATTCAACACAGCCCGGTCAGAGGGTACCTGGCGTATGCTGGCCAGCCGGGTCAAGCCGGGTCAGATCATCCGGCAGAAAAACAACCAAAAAGCCTGCTCAAAACTTGCAACTGTGTCAAAAGCTATAGCCTTTTCACGTCGGGGTCACCAATTTAGGCACCCAAGATGGCAGAGGTCGTATCTGTTCACGGGGGAGACAGATGAATCCCGGGACATACCACCCTGGGGCCTAATAAATACAACTCCGAGGGAGAGGGCAACTTTGTCTAATTGTTGTTGTTTTATTTAGAACAAAGAGGAAGAAATGTTGCATGCGCATGCGTATATATCTGGTGAGGGAGCTGACGTCATGCAGCGAGGTCGCTACAGCCTATTATATACTGCTATAGCCAAAGTTACGCTTTTGACTGCCTGCCCCATCGACTTTCAATGTCCTGACTTCCTGCTCGCCGCTGGCCAGATCGCGCTCGAACCAGTTGACCCTAGCCGAGTTTCTGTCGCTTGTAGACTGTAGTGTGTACGGTTGCGCTAGATTTGCAACAGATGGGGTCCGCGAGTCGTAAAATACCGGTACCCAGGAATCCATTGTCAGTTTGAGACATTTTTCAGCCGGGTCAGGCTGGAGCCGGTGTTATCTGTTCAGCCAGGTCGTGCAAGTCCCCAGCCGGGCGCGTGACCCGGCTGACCCGGCTCTCCAGCAGGCCCTGCTACATGCAGTACAGTAAAAGCAGCTATCAGAAACAAGAACCTAGGCTTTCCTTCATTGGCTATACTACATCAAATACAGTAAAACCTGGTGTAAGCGACCTCTGGGTTTAGCGACCACCTGCTCTTAACGACCGCTTTTCCATGCACCGACAGTTCTACACAGACACTGTGGGACCTGGTTCTAAAGACCACCTGGCTTTAACGACCGCTTTTGCTTGCACCGTGGGGTGGGGTGGGGTGGGGTGAGGTGGTCGCTTAAACCAGGTTTTACTGTATACCAATTTGTTCAGTGTATGATTGACTGGCCACTTTGCTCCCATTGTATATTTTCAGATCTCTGACTATCGACAACTGCCTGACACAGACAAGTTGTCCGAGCGACCTCGAGTCTGCCTGCAAGAGTCTGAGGAGGTAAGAGTTGGATACGGCAGTAGCGAGATTCAACACGACGTTATCATGTATATCGACTATGCATCATGCTCATGTGCAGCTGGGACGTGCGTTCACCAGTACACCGCATGCAGATGTTGTTGGATTGAGAGGTAGCATACACAGACTGGCATCCTTAGAATGCACGCCTGCTGGTTCTTTTTGAAATTTCTCCGCTCCATGGTGACCGAAGGGGGCTCCGGTAATCTGCCGTCCTCTCATTAGGCCACCGTTGTGTGTGCGTGTGTGTGTGTGTGTGTGTGTGTGTGTGTGTGTGTGTGTGCGCGTGCGTGTGTGTGTGTGTGTGCGCGTGCGTGTGTGTATGTCACATAATGTGTGCATGTGTGTGTGTGTGCGTGCACGCGCGTGTGTGCATGTGTCTGTATGCGTGTGTGCATGTGTGTATGTGCTGTATAGGTACCAAAAGACTTCACACAGCTGTTCCAGACTGAGCTGAACTCACTGCATGTCAGCAACGTGGCCACCGTACTCAAGTAAGCCAATACGAGTACATGTACATGTAGAGCAGCATGCACAGCAGCACTAGTGCACTGTTCATGCTACCATAAACAAAATGCACGCTTTGCATGAGACTCGAGTTTTCCGCACCCGTAGGAGCGCCACCATCCTCTATGGATCAAGGCGCGAATGCTGCTCCTAAAGGGGTGGGAGGTGAGCAGATCAGACCCACCACAAAGTAGTTAATGACCGAAAATCCCATGCTACATAGCTCTGGGGAAATCTTGCTTATGGGCCTGACACGATGGCTGTAACTGACTTGGATCTGTTACATGCCATGAATGCATGTGGTTGTTCAGGCAATGTCAATATTGTATATTTGTAGAGAAATATACGGCTCTGCCCATCTTGTCTCTCAGTTATCAATATTGCACATGAAAGCGTGCCCTCTGCAGCTGCAACTTGTATCTAATTGTCTCGTGCCAGTGCGTGATATCAATCTGTATGGCTCTGTTGTGTGGGTTTTGCATGCTGATAATGGCAACGCTCTTAGGGCAAAGGAAGATCTACGTGTGAAGCACGAGCCCCTCACTCTCATACAGCCGACGTTCGAGACACCGCTTCCTCCTGTGCAACTGGCTGTAAGTCATGCCTCTCCATGTCCTGCATATCCAGCACGCGTATACATGTACTCAACTCATGCATATCCGACTCACAGCAAATCACGGTTCAGGCTGTAATCACACAGTGTGCATGTTTGATATGGCTGTTGACCAATGCCGGCCTTTCCCATCAAGATCTGGTATGCGATTGCTACAGTAAGTTATGATCACGTGCAGTCCCGTGTACTGTAAATATACAAAACATTTCGGCAGCTATTTAATTTCGGCTATACATGTATTCGGCACCGACCCAAAACGCCAAAATTAAAACTCTGACGTAATTTTTCACATCAGCTTTGGTGATGTATTACCCAGTGCCGAAAATACATCGCTGCTGAAATGTGGAAAATCGTGAAATGCCGAAATTTTGTACATCTACAGTACATGTCCTGCAAGTGACCACTGTTCTCCTCTCTGCTACGGTTCTCTTGTCGAAGGTTTTCCCACCGACCTTCCGTGAGCTGCCGCCACCAAGTCTCGAACTGTTTGACCTTGACGAGGCCTTCTCCACGGAGAAGGTGCGAATGGCTCAACTAACAAATGATTGTAAGTACAATGTACTTGTGAATGCTTACATCTAGGAGAGGCTGCAGGCATGTGAACCCTACCGAGAGGTTATGCGATTACATCATCATCAGTTGAGATGCTTTGGTAAAGTCATGGCACAGTGATGCACTAGCGACTCATGCTGCATACACATTGCCCACAAGTGGTTCCGCTGTACATGTATACTTAGCGCTCATAAGTGGTATTGCATCATCAGTTGACATGTGTTGGCAAAGTTGCAGCTCAGCGCTGCACTAGCGACTCATGCTGCATACACATTGCCCACAGGCGGTTCCGCTCTGTACTTATCGCTCATAAGTGGTTCCGCTGACTCACCCCCATGACATCATTTGCACAACCTCTATACATGGACCTAAATGTTAGCTGTGCCTCATCAAGTAAGTATGTCATAATACAACTAGACAATCATCTGTCTTGGGAGTCTCCTACCAGCACGTTGGGCATGTGATATGTTTGCATAGTCTTCTGATCACTGAATCCCAAGCCCGGATCACAACCGTGATGGGGCCTTCCACTATTTAAAGCGGCCTTTCTCCGCTCCGCAACACTCTTCTGTCTGCTCCAGGTACTGACGAGGAGTTGGAGTATTTCATTACCAGCTGCGGCGAGGTACTGGGTGTTAACGCTAAGCTGGCAAAAGACAACCGTGACGCGCGACATGTGCTGGAGTATATCCTGGCACAGACGGTGGAATTCAAGAAGAGAAATCAGGACGTAAGCTATGGAGCAGTCCTTGTCAATATTATTAAATTTTTTTAAAGAAAATAATGCTGAGTGCAAGCATCAACTCTCTGTAACTATCCTTTCTGGATGTCTGAAATGGGTACCATTGTAGAAACTTACAAAGCTTCATAGACCGAAGTGCTTTTCGTCGCTTACCAAGCACTTCTCTACACGTTGGTTCATGTACCATTCATGTATGGTTCATGTACAGTTCATGTACATAGGCTAAGAATCACAACAAAGAGTGAGGCAAGCTTTGATTTTTCTGATGCACATTCCCATGTTTGGAGTGAATGGTATGTGAACAATACTTGTAGATCGGTGTTTGGTAAGCGACAAAATGATTTCATTCTTGGTCGAAGGGTCTTCTCTTGCACCTGTCTTCATCTTGACATCGAGAACTTGACCTCGAAAAGGATGCTGGAGTGTGCCTTTAAGCATGTGTGTGTGGGGTGGGGGGGGGGGGTAAGAGGGGGTAATTCTGCTGCGAGCATTGTACTCGCAGATTCAAATCTGCAGAGTGGAAGAGAGGGAGAGAGAGAGAGACTATGTGTGTGTGTGTGTGTGTGTGTGTGTGTGTGTGTGTGTGTGTGTGTGTGTGTGTGTGTGAGAGAGAGAGAAAGAGAGAGAGAGAGAGAGAGAGAGAGAGAGAGAGAGAGAGAGAGAGAGAGAGAGAGAGAGAGAGAGAGAGAGAGAGAGAGAGAGAAAGGGAGAGAATGAGAGAGAGAGAAGCAAGCTGGAAATTTCGGCCAGGCCTCACACTGGATTTGGTTCTGATGTTGTCATTTCTTACAGGCGGCCGATACTCTTGGCGCAGGCAGCATGTAGCGTGAAGAATCTGACTATCGGTGATTGCCACACAGCGTCGGTAGGAAAGCACCTAGCTCTGTGGTGATCCGGTATGGTAATGTGACAATTGGTTCAACTCGGAATCTGCAGTCGTCTGGCAACATGATTTGTAGATATGTGTGTGGACAGATAGCTACAGTATGGTATATGTCTTAGTAAGGGGAACACATCAGCAGATACCTACAGAGTACGAGTCCCTGCAGCAAGGACAAGGGCAAAAGCACAGCCTCTCACAGCAGAGGCTGTGAACAATGACAGTGTTCCAAATCTTGATCTCCGCTTTCTCAATATCTCCCGTTTTGTGTGTTTCTGTGTTATCTGCTCTTCTGCACTGACTTTTAATACCCACAATTTTATTCTTGAAACTTGTACAGCTGTACATAGAAGTATTCCCCCCGGTTCTGGTCATGATGGCACGCGCTTTGCCGACATGTGTGTTAATGCTGCTCTGCCATGCCATGATGTCATACGTCCAGTTTCATTATATGATGGAACAAACTGTTCTGTGTCACAGTCACAGTCTGGACAGTCTCAAGCCAACGTGAATGTCCTTTCTTAAATTAACATGGCACCAGGATATCTAGTCACATCTATGACCTGTAACGGTAGAACTTTTTTTAATGTGCACATGTGTGAGTGCTTTTGTTTGTTTCCGGAGTCTGCAGGTTGAAGTTTTCCAGTCGGGGTTGATTTTATGTATTGCTTTCACAGCATGTGTGTGTTCTTGATGGCATGTCGCATGTACGCGTATCGAATGTCCTGGGTATGCAGCGTGATGCTGTAAGCGGCATGGCAAAGATGTGGAGAGTTGGCGACTCTGAGTTCTACAAGAAGCCGGGTACAAGAGGTACCGCCAGCCTCATCCCAAGCCAAGTACCATGAGTACAGTACCAGTACAGTCATGTACATGCAGCCTTATACCCTTTTTCCTTTTTTTTATTACTGCAATTCATTGTAGAGCGCACAAACGTGGCAAAACGGAGCTGCAGGAGCTGCAGGAGTGTTCGGGTTGTGTATAACAGTTATACCGTATGAGCTATGTACGCCAAGGAACTGCGTCGTTCTCATGTATTCTTCCAAATAGTTTTACTTGGCACCCGGTTTGCGGCCACCGGTATGATGTGGCATGGATGCATCCACAGCTTGACAGATCTAACTTGATCTATGCATTCGTTGATAGTTGATACCATTCTTCATTTGGGCTTGTTTCGTTCCATGACAAATCAGTCATTAATTTGCAGAGGAGAGGCAGTTGTTGAATGATGATGTGACTGTCATTTTGTGCCGCAAGGTGAGTACACTCAACTAATTACTTACGCACACATGTGACAAACCAACACAAACAGAACATCCGATAGTGTCGCGTGTCGCTTGGAGGCGTTATGATAGGTGTGTCTGGTAGGGCTCATAACACCTCCATTCTACACTATTCCGTCTCAAACTTCAAGGTTTGTCGGTTAGCTTATCTCGTGTGTGAGTTACTACTACTATTCTTTGAGTGTACAGTCATATCCACACCTTGCGCCAATATCGTGTGCATAAAGTATGTCACCTTCTTTGGTTCTTTCAACAACTGCATCTCCTCTGAAGAGTTACCATGATCTTTCACGGAATGAAACAAGACTGTCAGGAGTATAAGTACCCATGCTTGGCAGTTTTCTTGCTGTCGCGGAGTGTTGCTGGTGCACTAGACCGTTCATGCTGCTAGCTGTCTGCAAGCGTGGTATGATCTCGTGTGGTCAACAGAAGAAGTCCTTGATGATCAATGATCTACATACCTGTCCACGACACCAGTACTACTAGCGCCTACTGCCACTGACAAAGCGGCAGCAGAAAGACGCTGACCTTGAAACCAAAAAAGGGGCGGTCGTGGGCCTGCCAGTCTACTCCAGGGAGTCGTATCATTTGTATACCGGGTTTATTTGAAAAGACTCCCTGGTCTACCATGGTCTACTCATGCTCAGTCTTCAGACTAGCTCAGGACCAGTCATGTCCACGAAGGCACCATGGACAGAGCTAGAGGAAAGGTTCACGGGATGGGCCATGGGGAGTGTCGCTGTCACTATCCGCCTAGCGCCTACGCCGTCTACGGCTAGCCGGCTCTGGCGTAGGTCTACGTAGATCTACGTGTGCGCTGTTGACATGGTTGACAACGCCAAACCAGGACTGCCACTGCCTGCTTGCATAGCAGTCACCACGAAACGATCCGGGAGATCAACGAACAAAGAGGGTCACTGCGGTACCGATCAGGATTGTGAGCCATCTCATGATCAACGCCCTCTTCCATCCCGGGGTAATCATGGTAAAAAGTATCCCGTGGATTGCCCAGTAATGCAGTATGGATCTTCGTCATGGTCATACTCTCGGAGTCGCAGACAAAAAATTTCTGACAGTCAGAGTCTGTATGTGTGTGTAGTCTTGTTGGCTAGCGTGGCTCTTGTCTTGAGTTGGGCGGTCAACACTGAGGTAATAGTGAGCACCCGTCATTGCTCCAAGTCCCACTCCAAGCGCGAGACAGCAGCACTGTGAGTGTGAACAAGGACAACTAATATTACTTAGGTGGAGACCGATTCTCAAGCTCAGGACTTGACGGCAATGAGCGAAGCTTGGCGGCCTTGCACTTTACTGAATCATAGCAAACTGTTTTATTTGTGAAGCGCCTGCAGTCTAGAATCAGCGGTTCACGGTGTTTCATCGTGGAAGGTGTGGATGGCTGCCAAGCGGGCTAGCAATGCTAGCTGGTGAATGATATGCCAACTAACGTAAGTCACTTTCCATGCGCCTACATTGGCTGCAATCCATTTCCAAAATATTTCCTATTCCCTACGAAACGTTCTTCATGTGATGTTTTTTGCGTATTTAGTTGGAACGACGACTGTCCTCGAAGTCTGATCGCGCCAGGCGCTCAATCAGACCTCGCGCATCGGAAGAGAGGGAATCCAGCGATTCAGACGACTCCGGACCGGGTGCCGTCGAGGCTGATTTCTTCACGCCACCGAGACGCGAGCGTCCTGAACCCGAACAGCAGCAGCCCGAGCAGCAGCAATCGACCAACATCAACAACAGGCGTGTATCCTTCCAGGTTTCACCTACGCCCGACGCAACAGTACAGCCTGCCATCGGCCGATCCCCTGCAGAAATCATGATGAAGCAAGCGTCAGCAGCCCGCGTGGTCGCAAACCAACCCACGGAGCTGAACCTTGGCCAGCCCACCTCGAGCATGGATCAAGGTCGGGCTCGACAGCGGGCAATGAGTCAGTCACCGGGCTCAGGAGTGAACGGAGTTGTAGAGTCTCCTCAATCGCACAATTCTCAAAGAGTCCGAACTCAGGTGACGGACAAGGAACTAGTGGAGAAATCAGTAATCAGACATTGCCAGGTGGGTCAGCAAGTAATAGCAATACTGGTAGCTATGCATGCATTGCCTGCCACATGTGCATGAATACGGGTAGTTCACATACATACCCCGAAACGAGTCGAGTGAGTCAGCGAAAAGGTCGACTGCTGTATTGCCATGGCTCTCGGAACTATGCGTCCATCACCAGCCATGGCCCGATGCTGTGTAGTTTCATGGTGTGATTTGCAATTCGTCAATGTGCAGGGTGCAGTTTCTATTTTCAGATAACTCCCTACTGCGAGGTAACTGCTTACTTCCAGAGCTAAACACAAGAAGTGCATAACACCTATGCACGTGCACACACACACACACACACACACACACACACACATGCACACACAGTTACGCTTTCCAACGGCCGTAATTGAGTTGGTAGCACGTGTCTCTGTGCATAGCTGTGGCAGTCATGGTGGTTTGGTGTGAGTCTCCGCACAGCAAACACATGGCTTAGGCCAATGTGGTTCCTTACTTCGCAGTGGCCTTAGCGCTGCTTTCTCGATAGAAGTTACTTCACCATTGCCAACCACTGGCTTTGCTACTTTGTGTTGTTCGGTGGTGCGCTAAACAGGTGGAACACAAAGACCACACATGCACATGCTACACGTGAATATGTCCATCCACTCACAAGACATACAGACACGTACACATGGTCTTCCAGTCCCTCTGCGAGCTCCTCACACCATAGAAGGGGAACATTTGGCTCCTAGCACCTAACATTTCCATTGGCACTCTGCCCTCATATGCGACTTCCAAGCACAATGTATCACTTCAACTTCACGTGCTCACAAACAGTAACATGTTATTGTATATGACGTGTATGTTCTTGTCCTAATGCATACAGTATCTTGGTGATATCAGCCAGGTTCCAATGACATTCAACATCAATAGTCGCAGTCGACTTCTCAACCTCATCGACAACTCCAGAGTAAGCTGCCTTGCTAGAAGATATATTTATTTCTCCTAGTCCAAGTACACATGCAGGGTGGTAGCATCGAGGCATCGTCAAGGTTAAGACGCAGCAGCATGTACAACAGAGGGGTTCACAAGTTGCGTGCCTTGTTGAGGGCATGATGAAAGATGGTTAAAAATTCCATGTAATCCGCAGTTGAATCATTACTCCCCGGCCTGCCGCAACCGGGTCCGGTTGGTCAGGTCATCGCCATGCTGAGAGGCTGTTGTGTACCCGCTACACAGGAGAGCAAGCTTGTATGTACATTGTACACAGGTAATTAGCTTTGATCCTAACGCTCTGGGCACATGCGTGTACATGTATGACTATAATTATATTGACAGAGACAAGGACGGTTGCCATGGACACCGCACAATAAGCATAACGTCTGCCTGGCTCTGTGTGCCAAGGACCTACGGCTGCTGGATCACAGAGGACAGGTAACCACTATGCATGAGTAATACGGACTTGACGGTCGTGTGAGCCACCATATTACAGTCTTCCATTTGGGCGTTATGTCTTGCGTTGGCAATGCAGGGCGGTGATAACTTTGATACATGTGTGCAACACGGATAATATCAAGGGTTTCCGGCGTCATAAATTGCTACTCGCGTTCCCCAGAATTCGAGCCGTTTGGCGCTGGTGAAGCTGCATTGCTGTGCTGCTCAAGATTTGATAATCCCAATCTGGTACAGGTACGGATGTTCCTTCCCGCATCCTACTGATGCTGGAGAGCTGTAGATACACGTTAGCCCCTATGGAATCAGATAATCCCACAATTTTCGATTAGTTTAACAGCCTACGTACGTTTACCATGGTTATCATGCTGCAATAAAACCTAGCGCCACTAGCATTGCTGAGAACTAGTATTTCTAAGAACTAGCATTGCTGAGAACTAGCATTGCTAAGAACTAGTATTTCTAAGAACTAGCATTGCTAAGAACTAGCATTGCCGAGAACTAGTATTGTTAAGAACTAGCATTGCTGAGAACTAGTATTGCTAAGAACTAGCATTGCTAAGAACTAGCATTGCTGAGAACTAGTATTGCTAAGAACTAGCATTGCTAAGAACTAGCATTGCTAAGAACTAGCATTGCTAAGAACTAGCATTGCTAAGAACTAGCATTGCTAAGAACTAGCATTGCTAAGAACAGCATTGCCAAGAACTAGCATTGCTAAGAACAGCATTGCTAAGAACTAGCATTGCTAAGAACTAGTATTGCTGAGAACTAGCATTGCTAAGAACTAGTATTGCTGAGAACTAGCATTGCTAAGAACTAGTATTGCTAAGAACTAGCATTGCTAAGAACTAGTATTGCTGAGAACTAGCATTGCTAAGAACAGCATTGCTGAGAACTAGCATTGCTAAGAACTAGCATTGCTAAGAACAGCATTGCTAAGAACTAGCATTGCTAAGAACAGCATTGCTAAGAACTAGTATTGCTGAGAACTAGCATTGCTAAGAACTAGTATTGCTGAGAACTAGCATTGCTAAGAACTAGTATTGCTGAGAACTAGCATTGCTAAGAACTAGTATTGCTGAGAACTAGCATTGCTAAGAACTAGTATTGCTAAGAACTAGCATTGCTAAGAACTAGCATTGCTAAGAACAGCATTGCTGAGAACTAGCATTGCTAAGAACTAGCATTGCTAAGAACAGCATTGCTAAGAACTAACATTGCTAAGAACAGCATTGCTAAGAACTAGCATTGCTAAGAACTAGTATTGCTGAGAACTAGCATTGCTCAGAACTAGTATTGCTGAGAACTAGCATTGCTAAGAACTAGTATTGCTAAGAACTAGCATTGCTAAGAACTAGTATTGCTGAGAACTAGCATTGCTAAGAACTAGTATTGCTAAGAACTAGTATTGCTAAGAACTAGCATTGCTAAGAACAGCATTGCTAAGAACTAGCATTGCTAAGAACAGCATTGCTAAGAACTAGCATTGCTAAGAACTAGCATTGCTAAGAACAGCATTGCTAAGAACTAGCATTGCTAAGATTCCGCAGTATTGTACATGTACTCTGGCTGTGGCAGACGCCTCTCAAAACAAAAACCTCCACTGTTCCAGGTGACGTTCATTGTCTCAACTGCTTTGTGCTGATCCAGCTGATGCATTGAATTTAGCGGCCAGCATATCTCCCAGGCCGTATGGAGCAGTGAGGTTTGGTTTCCACTTTCCAGGTTGCTCTAAAACCTGTAACATTTGCAATTTTGTGAGAGGTGACAAATCACAAACTGTGAACTTCACAAACTGCTAAAATTGTGTACGGCGTTTTGCAAGGGGCGCCGACTCGCAAACTTGAACTTCACAAGTCAGTTTCAATTTCTAAAACGCAAACACTTTTAGTCGCAAACATTACTCATTTTTTAGTATCCGCGAGTGAGAGATTCTCTAATGTAACCATCCGAGGGCGGCGGAACTGGTCCCGTTGGTCATGCCATGGCCGGACCAGCTCTTTGGCTACCAACGGGTGATAACTGCTAAGGGCATTTATGTATACTCGACGTATCATACACGAAAGTATCAATGGCCGTGGTATGTCCGGGCCAATCACAAACTACAGCACTGCTCAATGAAATCCAGTCGAGAGTCACTCGAGTGCGCGCCGGGCGTTGCGCAGCCATAGACCTGCGAACCGTGAATGGGCTGCGAAATAATGCAAGGCGCAAGCTTGAGTGACACGCGGACTGGATTTCATTGAGCACGGGACTGTACTTCCGCCGGTCGTGCCACTGCCTGTCTGTGTGTGTCCTGATTTGTTTCTAACTTTCTATTCAGGCTGTCATAGTACGATTACCCCTGCACACCATTGCTGCCGTCAGCTACTTCCACGATGACCTGCAGCACTTGGTTACCATACATACGGGTGAGACTGGCGGTCCTGAGGGGGCTTGAAGAGTGCATGGGCACTATTTACTGATGTTGCTGCATTCTATTCGCTACCGCATACATCCAACAAGAATGATGATGTGCTTCAGATGTACAATGTACATGTAGTTCTGTGGACTAAAACTCGATGTTTTGAAAGCGCTCAAACCAAGAGTATAACCTCCCAAGAGTGTGCAACCCTGCATATAGGGTCTCACGTGTCACGGCGCAGGCACGTTTCGTACTACGTACAAACGAAGCATAGCGTGCGCGCAATCCGAATATCTGCTGGGGATTTGCAATACGTACAGTGAGTTTCTGTCAGAGAGTGCTTTTTTTATTACTCCGCTGCTCGCTAAAACGGGCTGGAAACGCACGACTGTGACACTGCACCACATGATGTGAGTTTTCGCCGTCGGCGAACTCCTTAGAAATTATGTAAGGAGTTGCACACTCTTGGAGGCTTATATACTCTTGCTCAAACCTATACCCTCTCGGCTGGGAATCAGCGCATTCATGGTCATCTGTGAGTGTATTATGAGTACACGTTCTGGGCACTGTGAGGGTTGTCTGAGCATGTCATTGATATGTCTGTTTTTTGTTTTTGTTTTGTGATATATGCAATGGTCTAGGTTCAGAAGGCGATCGGGGCAAAGGTCTACTGCACATTCTACATTTTAGCACCCAGGTGAGTTTTCAATCCAAGGGCTAGTTGCCTATTCAATTATGTGCATAGATGACCAGTGCTGGCTAGAGAAGTAAGTCCGCTAGTGCACTTTTCGCGCCGCGGGTCAAGCAGCCCTCGATGCCCTGCAGTTGCACAATCCTGCTTATGTTGATGGTTTTTTTACTTGCTTCAGCCAGATGAGCGGGCACACATAGCTGCCTTCTTGTCCGGGGGGGGGGGGGGGGGTCCACTTGCTGTATGCTGCATAGGGCCTAGCAGTGACCATCGTAGAGTGGATTTCGCTGGTCACAACTGCCATTTTATAGATAACGCTCTAAAAAATACCTGTCTGTTTGCCTGTCTGTCTGTCTGTCTGTCTGTCTGCATGTCTGTCTGTATGTATGTATGTATGTCCACCTGTCTGTCTGTCTGTATGTATGTATGTCTGGCTGCTGTTGTTGTGTTGATAGGAAGCTGCAGAGGAAGTGTGCATGATCATCAGCAAGTGCTTTAACCTGCTGTACACCGAGGCCACCATGGCTATGCTGGACCAGTCTATTGTGGACGGCAACGGAGGAGAGCTCTCACCACTCAAATCACCAGGCAGATCCTTAACGCGCGGATGTGAGTATGCTGACATTTCCCAGGGAATGTGGGAAGCAAATGCTTTGGTTGTGCTGCGAGAGTGTTATAAGCTCACTACCTGCTTGCTGGGCATACCAAGTTACCAACACATGTGAGAGTGTTATAAGCTCACTGACCTGCTTGCTGGGCATACCAAGTTACCAACACATGTATTCAGTACTGGCACACTCACTTGAGCTGATCATGCCAATGCCGGGGACGTACTGCTTTTTTCTCTAAGTTCGTCGATTGACCCTCTACATGGCTACTGTGGCATGACAAGCGATGTGCACGATTACTCTATAGCAATCAGTGATAGTGCATGTGCGCGTGTTATACCGGGGAAAGGTAGATCTGCTACCTACGACTTTTGGCCAAACTTGACCAAACAGTGGATTCACCATTGGGCATGCATGACCAAGCCGTGCCTGAGCTGCACTAACTTGAAAGTTCAGTCTCTTTTTTTCATTACGACAGCTATTGAAGGAAATCCCAGCACATCTTCGAGCTATTAGGGGTGCGTGGACTCGCCTAAAGCTGTCTATTTTGTACCGTTGTGTTTTGATGTTCCTGGCATGCAGTGGCCTCGCCTAAAGCTGTCTATTTTGTACGGTTGTGTTGTGATGTTCCTGGCATGCAGTGGCCTCAGACCAATACTACCCGAATATATCCAGCAGCTTGGTGGCCGAGCTGCACGATGTTCAAAGGATTGCTGCACCGTACGTACATAGACTGTCCTCTGAATCACCCGGTGACTGCACTGTCTAACTTATCACGTGCACTTTGCCGGCTCAGAATATAGAACTGCGTGTTGCAGTTGCGTGAACCTTGGCCTTGACATGTTCCTTGCGTCGGTATGAATGATTTACTGTAGACGCATTCCTCCTACTTCAACTGTAACTAAGGCTTGTTACGTTAATGTATGATCATCGCACAAAACACGCCAAGTTAATACTAGGGATGATGAATACATGCTGTGCAGATCGTACGCTGTGTTGTGTTTCCTGTCCGTGCTAGAAGCGAGACTTCGGCCAACATCTCGGCGCCGAAGAGAGGCGGCATACTGCGCCAGCCGTCGCGCGACGCCATGCCAGTGTCTGGAGTCAAGCAGTCGACAGCACCACTAGCACCACCAGCAGCACCAGCACTGGCGGGTGGTATCGTCACTGCCACATCGTCGGGCCAAGCAACCAATGCGGCCACGGCATCGCCACCTCCACCGCCGCCTGCTCCGTCGGCACCTGATGGTCCGCCGGCACCGCCAGCTCCAGCTGCGATGCCACCGCCGTCGAATAGGCCGGCACTCGTACAGGCAGTCGGGCAGTCGAGGCGCAAACCGCACTCGGAAACGCCCGGTAAGAAACTGCATTGTGTGTACATGTGCATGCGCGCATGTGTGTGTGTGTGTGTGTGTGCGCGCGTGCGTGCGTGCGTGCATGCTTGAGTGCGTGTGTGTACGTGTGGTTACAGCACTGTAGTGTAGCTAGCTGTACTTGTCACGGTGTATGCCTACATGTAGTAGGGTTGCGAGCGACCCGTAAGCCCTATCATCGAGCCTAGGACCCGTAAGCCCTATCATCGAGCCTAGGACCCGTAAGCCCTATCATCGAGCCTAGGACCCGTAAGCCCTATCATCGAGCCTAGGACCCGTAAGCCCTATCATCGAGCCTAGGACCCGTAAGCCCTATCATCGAGCCTAGGACCCGTAAGCCCTATCATCGAGCCTAGGACCCGTAAGACCTATCATCGAGCCTAGATCCTGTGTGTCATGTGCGCGATTGCCGATCAGGGTGCTTCCTGGGCAGTTCCTGATTTGCTTACGGCTCATCTAACTTGCTGCCAAGAGTATTTGGACCTAAGATGGATCAGACTCCGATCGATGGAGCATGGGTGGTCTTAACCCTTTAGGGCCCACAGTTATTTCAAGGAATGCACTGCATACGTGAGCCCGGGTACTTATCTGGTCGTTACTTTGGTGTCCTTTGGCCGATTTTGGTGATCTTGGGCGTTCTGGAAAGCTCTTCGCCAGGGGAACACAGCGATATCCAACAATCCATCATGGAATCCACAGAACCAGCGCGATACGGCGCTCCAAAGCCAGCATTGCGAGCGCCCAACTCAAATTCTCTGCCATTTGAACAAAATGTATCGCAGATCGCTCAATTTTTTTACATGAGAGCTGAGAAACATGCCTTTGCGATGACGTGAACTACCTGTGGCTGTGCGTGCCGCGAGTCAGGGAAAACCCCCAAAAACGAGTTCAAAATGCACGCGCCCGAGGTGACTCTGCTCAGCGAATTTAGTTCGAGTCTCATACCTCCGCTCTCCGAGCTCGGATCGCCTTCGGGTTTTTTCGAGCCGATAGCTGAGACAATTCCAGGGCTCACAGTTGCGTAGAAAAGCGTCGATTAGATGGGGGCGGTGCACGTGCTCCAAAATGCCAGCTTGGCCAATCAGCAGTCAGCATTTCGTCGGATTTTTGCTCGAAGTGGGGGTGTTTGAAGGAGTTAGCAGCACTTCAGCCAGGTTCTACGAAGCTGGGACTTGGCCCAGGCACAGATGACAGGTGTTCCAAAAGATTTACCGAAACAAATTTTCATTACTCACACGGGTATGCCAGAGCACATGCGTAAACTTCGTGAGATATAGTACAGCATTCGAAAGGAGTATCCAAAAACGTCTCGGTAAATTTCTTTGCCAGGGTCTCCTGAAAATTTTGAGCCATAGATTGTCCAAATCGACCAAGGGGGAGATGCTCTGTACTGATTTTAGTAACCCCGAGTCCCAGCGGCGCGCAACCGCTTGCGCGAAAATGTGTGAAGATCAAACAACAAGAAAAACGCATGCATGCAGCAGAACAGCAACGCGTGCCGTCGAAGAGAAAATCATTGCCACAGATTGTTCAGTGTTCTCTCCTCAGTTCGCCCGCGGCGTTGGTTGCTGTGCTTTCATTCTCGCTGGAGTTCTTGTGGCAGCGCATTTCGCCATCATGGAGGAACTGGCACCCTGGGAAACCTGGTCTTCAGTGGCCCTCGACAAACGCCCGGTGGATTTGCTGCCGGTCCCGTTCACCTCCATCCGATCACCAGCTCCGTGTGGTATCATCTGATCATGTTCTCGGCGTTACCTGCCTGGCGAGCTCTGACTCGTTTGTTTGTCTTCTTACCTGTGGAATCATCACGATCGCTCATTGTAGGATCAGCTTTTGGTCGAACATGGCATGTTGTTTTTACTGGGACTAGCACAGGTTGCGTTTCGCCTTCTCCTCCAAAATATCGCGAACATCGGCTCTAAAACTACGAGAACAGGCTACAAGTACAACTCTGGTTCTTTCTCTTTTCTGTTCTGTTTTGGATGCGTGGGATGTACACGATCGGTACTCTCCCGGGGTCACGCGACTCACGTGCACCAAACCCGCCCTCGCACGACGCTTTTGTCGATCCTGGATGCCTACTGTGAGCCCTGAATTCTAATGTCGATAGACCTTTCGATGGTGCGATTTGGTCAAGGTACGGCCGAGTTAAGCGGGATTCACAGAAGCTTTTTTGCGATGCGACACGCGATGCGACGCGATCTGCGATGGATGCGTGCGATGCGAACTCGCGAAATACCATTCACAGAAGAAGTCAGCGATGCGACAAAGTTTTGCTGATTTGGGTACGTCACCATGATATTCGCGCGGTTTGACACAACTTGTAAAAATTTATAGGCAACTCTTGCACCTTTGTACAACTTTGCTGTAGCAAAGGTCAAAATCGTACACCAAATCGCTTGTCGCATCGCATCGCATCGCAAAAGTTGAGCCAAGCTCAACTTCTGCGATGGCCTGCGATGGCCCAGTTGCGGCAGTTGCGTGGGGTGCGACATGGCTGCGATTTAGGGTTTTCCCGGTTTCGCGTCTGTCGCATCGCGTGTCGCATCGCAAAAAACCTTCTGTGAATCCCGCTTTACGCCAGGTTGCGCTTTGAAAAGTATGCAATGTACACTGGTACGGATATATCCGTATTATGGGCCTCAAAGGGTTAAAGCTCCGGGCCATGTGCCAGAAACTTGCGCCCAAGGGTGCACAGAATGCATGGTGGGGAAAGCGCTGACCGTTTACCTCTGTCGTCATGGCGTATTTCACAGCCAGACCTGTTAGCCTGAGAATACCTGTAGACTGAAATCATTTGAGATGTATGCCCCCCCCCCCCCTCCACACACACACATGCGCGCAGCACACAAATACATACATGTGTACACACTGCTTACGGCGCGCACTCGCAAAGTCGTATTGCTTCCGATTGAATACCATGGCGTAACGCTGGTTGACCTAAAATAGCTAGCACCTGTGTATGATCTTTCATCAACATACAAACACCATAACTGCGCTCCCCAGCCGACCTCGACACATTGCCACAGCACACTATCAGCAAAACGACATATCCGTCGGTACTGAATTCCTTCATGCAGCCGTCTCGAGTATAAAACTCCCGTCGGTGAAGGTAGGAGGGTTTGTTCAATCCGTGTATGATCATTTGAATTCTATTGCTTTCTCGTGTGTTTCCACCTACCATCACCACCACCAGGCGTTGGGCTGGTGGCGGTGTATGATGATAGTGAAGAAGAAGAATCAGATAGCGACCATCGCCGACACGCTGGACAACCGCTGGTTGCCAGGCAACAAGTCCAGGAGCAACCGCAGGAGAAAGAGATGACGGAAGAGGCAGCAGTTGTTGTCCAGCGCTATATGAAAGTGGTATGTACTTGTATCGCTGGCATACCCTTCCATATTCAGTAACTGTTGCTCTTCAGACAAGTAAAGTAAAGTGCTTTGAGTAATAGCTTAGGTCTTGAACACTCTGTCCACACGTCTTGTGATCAGAAGCAATCACCTGGATGCGACAATGGCTTTTCACAAGTTTTCAGGCTGTAAAGCTGGCCTGTGTACTTGGAGCCCTTGTGATGTAAAGGCGGTTGGTTGTGTGTGGTACGGATGGCTCATGCGCATAGCAATCCGTGACAGTAGACTGAGTAGTGCCTGGTGTTGGCTGTGCGCTCGTGTATGTGTACGTGTATGTGTGTGTGTATGTGTACGTGCATGCATACGTGTGTGTGTGTGCGTGCGTGTGTTGGCTCATGCTTCTACCTTCTGCCGTACGACTCGATACACAGATGCATCACCTTGTTAGCTCAGAAGAGCTGCGCCAATTTGCCACGCTGGTCAAGGAGTACCGTGACAATCTTCCAATAGCCACTTTCTGTGCCAGACTGGACACATTGTTTGGGCCTGACCGACAGTTTATGCTGCCAGGTAAAGCTTTTATTTTTTATTTTTTTATTTCGGCCAGTCGGCTACTATCATTTCGTCTTGGGGTTAGACAAGGGGAAGTAGCCATGTAGGGGCGTGAGCCCGCCTTTCGGGAGGTAAAGTATCTTGAGTGTCCTGGAGCTTACCAGACTACCGCTTGCCCCGGGGTTTTCAATGCTCTATGTAAAGAATAGTAATATGTTGAGTTGCTCGGTTCTTGAATCCACTACTAGTATTTTATTCCACTTGTAAACACCTCCTTTCCCCGAACAGGCTCTCAGCTGCACAAAATGAATGAGAGGACTGCCACAATTTTGCCCAATGGGCAACGTATTGCCAGTCCTTTCATTCATTTTGTGCAGCTGAGAGCCTGTTTGGAGAATGGAGGTGTTGACAAGTGGAAAGAAAACGCTGGATCATGGAGTGGAGTTGGAGAGTTCTTAGGAAAGTTCAAAGGTTTAGTATTTTTATGGTGAAAAAGGAGAAGGTCAAAATGTTACGAGTTATGACTAACTGTACACCAACGTAACGAGATCATATACAGTCATAATTAATTTTAATTTTAATTTAATTGGCTCACCATCCGAGTTGAGTTTAGTATTTTATTGAGCGCATAATGAAATCGACGTGTATGGTTAAATTTGATGCATTGTGTTTCTGTGTTTGTTTTCTGGACCGCAGGGATGAGAGCATTCATACCAGAGACCGATCAGTTCTATTTTGAGAGCTTTCTGCAGGTGAAAGGTGCTGCTGAGCTGAAGATTCCAGACCGATTGCTCCAAGACTGAGGCTGTGACTGCAACGGGAGCGGCTTTATCACCATGGATACCGAGCAGCTGATTGGGACTCCGGCTTGAACAAGGTTGCCGCTCAAAGTCACCGCAAGAATATGTACCGGGTTCCGGGCCACAATATGTGGTTCCTGTATTGCAGCAGCAAAGCCTGCGTGCGGCCATATTTCCGAGTCTATTTGTACATGTTGGGACATACCCTTGCTAATCTTTATGGACACTGCGCTGGAAATAGTTCATGCATTGCAAATTCACCTCCTGACAACAGTTTAAAAACATGCTACGTAAGTGTATGTATGCTCTAAATAATTATACACCGTACAGATGCTCAGCTCCCTCACCAGTCGGCACAGTTCATTTCAACACTGTGAATGGTCACTGTTACCTGTAGGTGAGAATCAGGGCGTCGTATGCCGTATACGACTCAGCTCTGGTGATATATAATCCAGCTCGCATAGATTTCAGCCACCTGCACAGTTGATCTTATCATTCTACATGTAGGTACACACACCTATGGCTATGGCAAGTGTGCATTTATTAGCCATTATTCTACCAACTCATGCTCCTGGTGGTGCATTATAAAAGAGTCATGCTGCACGTGTGTGTGTGTGTGTGTGTGTGTGCGCGCGCACAATAGTGCGAAAAACCCGACACTGATGCACCGTGAACGGGGAGGGGCACCAGTGACATCTGGCTGTAGAGCCTAGAGGGCAAAACCAGTTATGCATACAGCTGATTTGTCACATTCAAGGCGTACCATACACCGTGACAGAATCAATGATTCGTCAGGCAATAGGGCTTGAAAGTGCTACGTCACTCCATAGCAATGGCATAGCAACAATTTGAAAAATTCGAAAACTGGATCCACCTGGATCCAGTTTTTGTATGGATCCAAGCACATTTCAAGCGGTCTCACTCACAGCAAGGTGATGATGCCAGTGAAACTGACTGATTTGGCTAGTGGGGGCGGGGTGACAACTGGTGGCGAAGTAAAAGTTGCACCTGCATACGACATGAGTGGGTTGCTATGCACCCACATACTGAGGCAATAGCAAAGTCACACCTTAGTGGATCCAAAATAGAAATCTGATGTCAATTTACTACTCCCAGGCCGTTTTTGACGTCATCACTTTCAAGCCCTATTCAATCAAATTATTTCCACAGTAAATACAATAATATTAAGTTCGGCGTTCATGCCATGTCGTCTTTTCTTGTTTTGTTTCAAGATCTAACAAAGAGAACGCTAAGATGTGTTGAAGAAAACACAACGACATACACTCTAGAAAGTATCTAAAACACTTGATCACACATCATAGCAATATAAATAGCATTGTAGGGACTTTTAAAAGCAGTTCAATAGATTCAGCAAATTCCAATCAAACCTCAAGCATAGCGCATTTTGCAATCTCTAAGCGCCTGGTTGAAAGCCTCGCAGTGAGACAAGTCCTTCATCTGCTCTGCACAGCTCATGAACTCACGCATCTCTACAGCACAAGCACCTCCAGCGGGCGCAGCCTGCTGTTGCTGGTACTGGGGTGGTGGTGGCTGGTAGTACTGCTGCTGTTGTGGTGCTGCAGCAGGTGCTGGGGCAGGGGCTGCTTCTTGCTGGGAGCCATGGCCTCCAGATAGTCCGCCCATGATGGCGTGTCCGAGGACAACTCCGCCAGCAGTTGATGCCATGTTGCTCATGAAGCCACCGCCACCGCCGCCAGCGGCAGGAGCTGGGGCATTATGGTGGTGATGAACCTCCTTCGATGGTGCTGGTGCTGGAGCACGTGTCGAAACGGACCTCGCTGGAGAAGCAGCGCGGGGTGCTGGACGACCTCCACCACGACGACCCATTTTCAACTTATGATATCGACACAAGACTTTAGATTACAACGCAGATCGAAAACGAGGCAACTCCTTTCTTTTGTTCTGCAGACCTGGCCTTCTCAGTCCTTTTCTGAACTACACTCTTGTTTCTTTCCTTGCAGAACAAAAATCACGACACAGGATCACGTCACTGTACTGCCTGCTGAATACGTCACCATCGACTCTTGCGCAACGTCTCACTTCATGTGCATGCATGGCCGAAAAATAAAATTTATGAGTCAGGTGAACATTAATTTTGTTGCTGCATTTTCTCGAATGTTCAGTGCATGCCGCGCGCGCGGTTCAAAAAGTTTCAGGTTTGCCACGTCCTTGTGCCTGACCCTGGTGTTTTGTCGACTCCCTGTAGCTGGCCCTGGTTGTGGCAACTACCAATACCATGGACATGGTACTTGGTAGACTACAGTCATGTAGCTAGCTACTTGCTTGTGCCCTTGAAAGTTGAAGGCTTGATAATGATATCCGTACAGTTTGTTCGGCTGTCATCATTCATGGCTTTCAGTTTGTAAAGCATGCTGTACCTACTACTACTACTAGTACTAGCCAAGTACTACAATCATGTAGTACCGGTACTAGTAGACCTCTACCTCTTTAGACCCACACTGAGCAGGCTAGGCCGGAATGGACAAGAGTGGCAAGAGCCAAGAGGTGCAACATCAATCCTGACTTGGAGCACAGTTGCAGAATGACGCACAACGCGGTGAGTGCAGTGTGCTGCTGGCTGTGTATGTCCATAATGATTATGTACCAACCCTGGCAGAATAAATAAAAGGAATGAAAAGAAGAAGAAAAAACTCAACCAATATTTCGGCCCTACCATCATCAAGATGGATAAGGAACAAACAAACAAAACATCTTGTTTCGGTTCAGCCGACCGGGTCTCAAATTCTGAAACATTCTTGGCCTGGATATGTGAAAGGATATGTGCAAAGGTGCATGCATGCTCCTGTTGGTAGCTGACGAAACCGCTCATTGCACGTTTGGTTAGTTGTGGTTGTTATGGTCTCCGTTGTTGGTGTTGGTGTGGTAGCTGGTGACACGAAAGGTACTTGTTGCGGCAGTGATGTACACAATTAACCAACCGTGCAATGCAACCATTAACAGACCAATACGATCAACAGCCAACTACAACAGGTGTTACACATCGAGCACACGCGGGCGAACCATTGAGGGACCAGACAGCATGTTGTCGGCCAAGTCAAGCCAGGTGAAGCAGTCCGGGACGGACGGAGCGAACATGGAGTCGGCAGAGGAGGTGGATGGTGATGAATCCAGCAAGGAGTCGGGGAGGGAGGAGGAGAATGGTCAGGAGAGTGGCGGTGAGAGTCACTGTGCTGTACGCAAGTTTCGTAGGGGAAAATCTTCAGTGTACAGTCATCTTGAGGCTAGTCCTGATTGTCGCAATTCGTATTCTGATTCTTGTTTCACTGTATTGTGCCGTGGTCGTCATGGAGATGGTTTACAGTTAAACGTATTGGAAGCCATTTATCAGCGTCTGTATAAACCCAATTTGTGTGTACAGAAATAAATTTACAGAGAGCGGAGTCCTCCGGCTCGATAGAGTGCTCAATGCGGAAGCAGAGCAGTAACCAGTTGTCTGAAGATTGTTATATTTTGGCATGAAACTTTAAGTTACGACAATAAAACGCGTGGTTTTCTGTGACTCGTGCAGAAATAAATTTGTATAAATTTCACAGTTCGCGTGAGACTCGGCTGGAAGCCGAGTTTTCCGCATCCGCCGTGGGAACGCCACCACCCTCTAGGATCAAAGGCGTACAGAAGGATAGTATTATTAGTTTGAAATTGTTCAAGTAACATGTTGTGTTTAGTGTGACCAAGCGTGGCCGTTATTGTTATTTCCTTTAGTACAGCGAAGATTCCCGACGAGTGTTGTACGAAAACCTGTTCAAATCCTAATTGTTCTCTTCGCTATTTCTTCCTACTTTCATCGTTTTATTGCACATTGTCTCTACCATCAGCTTGTCTTATTGATCGCGGTGCTAAAAATTTTGTCTCCTTGCCGTTTATTCAAAGTTTTAATCAAGGTAAACTTTTTTTCACACGTCTCTCTGCTGCAAAACCGGTCTGGTCATTTCTGGCTCACCAAAATTTTCGGACTTTGGGTAAAACAGTAAGTTCTTACTGTTTGACCCGGTTGATGCACAACTTGGCTTGATTGCAGCGTGCGATGAGGGCAGCGGGGACGAAACATAGATCTACGTCGCAATCGAGCAAAGTCGTAGCTGCGGCATCTTCTATGCGCCAAGCGCGGCTACCTGGTGTACCAACCCACCATGTCAGATACCACTAGCCGTACATCGACCAGTCACCAAGCGCATACTAGTGTTGTTGTTGGTCGTGGTGGTGGTGGTCGTGGTGAGAAGGAGAGCTTTGTGCCCAAGCGCGTAGCCCATATAGGGCACGTGTATCCACTAAACATTTCGACCAACAGTCCAATCAGAAAAAAGATGATAACCTAGCTTTTGGCCATAAATGGGTCAAATTTTGAGTTTTTGTCACAATATTTTTGGCAGTCCCCCATGGAATGCTCTTCCAATTGTGTTTTTGAAGTCTATTTCTCCGAAGAGCAAGCCATAACGAGAATAGGAGAATAGGATTTCAGCTAGGTCCCCCCCCCCCCAAGCACTGGGGGAAAACCATGAACATCCAGGCCGTTCACTCCACTTGCATAACAGTACATTTGCGGTTCGAACCCCAGCTGAGGCGCTTTTTGGGACCCTTTTTCAAGTTTCGAATCTCGCGGCACTGCACAGTGTACCACAAAATCACGAAAAATCACCAAACACGGGAGCTCTCCAGAGCCAGCGCTCATCTTTTTCTGAATGTGAATCTGGTGTGAAAGTTGTAGCCTGCAGGCACGGTGACCAGGCGACTGGTGTACGCATGAGCACGTGACCGCTTACTCAACCGTGTTCGATTGGGAATAGGGGCCGAGCGCTGCATCGCAGACTTTTCGGACCAAAACCAGTCGATTCAGCATCCAAAAGACTACAACATACGGGCCAATCGCGGTCATCCGTGCTTTTATAAGAACGAAATGGCGCTTTTAGTGACACTTTGCATACAAATCTCCATCTAGTAGGGTGCAGTCACCCAGTTTCGGTGGAGGTGGCAAGTTCGATTGGGAATAAAGGAGGAAGGGAGAGTCTCCGCTTCCTCGGACCAAGACCATTCGACTCAGCACCCCGAAGACTACAACTGGTGAAAAACTGATTTGAAGTGCGTGGGATTACTGAGGGCTGTGTCCCGCCAGCCGCTTGTAGTTTCACAGGAAGCGTGAGTTTCAATGTCGGAAGAAAAATTAATGTTGAACAGTCGCTGCTGGGATGACATCGACACATGATGATAGCTCAGTGGTCAGAGCCTCACCGGCCTCAAGGGAAGGTCCCTGGTTCGAGTCCTGGTAGTGTGACAGTCAATAACTGTTTTCTTCAGACTTTTAAGGTTTAACGTCGGCCCTACGACGATCATGTCAGGGTCACCACTTTATAGGGTTTAACGTCGGCCCCACGACGACGGCTGCAATGGCCAACCGAACAACAAAGAAGTTGAGGCCAAAGAGAAAGATGTTCTTTTCTTGTGCATGCTTGTTGATATGCGCGTATGACGTAATGGGCCATTCACACTACGCCCAAAACGTGGCGTGGCGTACGTGACGTTTTGGTCCGGATGGCCATGACAACATGGAACGTGGCGGGAAAATCGTACCCCTGATACGAAAACGTAGACGACGTATCCAGACCCCTGTACCGAGTTTCGGTCTGTCGTTCCCAGCAGTTTGTGTCCAAAAGAAGCTGTACACACTGCTGGACGAGTAGCGTGTGCGTGCCTGTGTGAATGCACCTGCATGAAAACGACGTCTGCCAGTACGTCGTATTCCAAGACGTGACACGTATTGTAACATACATGTAGTATGAATAGCCTATACGCGTCAGGTCGTTACAGACTTTCTCATTTACAGTCCCCCAGACTTCTGATTATGTAGCAGCGCTTCAAGAATAGTCGAATAGAGCATCACAAATTCGTAAGTTAGTTTGAAAATTTCACTTGTAATTGACCGGGTGCATGAACGTGCTCATGTCTGCTCGGCAGGTGGTGACAATGATACGAGTACGTTGGCATGGCAATCCCATCTGAGTGACCGATGCCTGGGCAATGGCAGAAGAGAGCGCGGTGACATATCTTGGATAGTTCTACGGCTGTGCAAGGTCGTCCACTCTTTGAAGACAAGCGTTCCGTGAAAAGGTTCGTGACTTTATTTTGCGAGCGGTGGTAGACTAATTTGAAGCTGGGAAGGTCAACGGCTAACAATAGCCTGGGGAAGTACCGTACATACACTACAGGGTGCTTAAGAAGACCACATGATGTACAATGTACAATGATGTAAGAAGACCACATGATGTACAATGATGTAAGAAGTAGTCATGGCCCAAATTTGTTCGGCCTACATCGATATTTTGCCGCACAATTTTGCCACAACATTTTCGATATTCTGCTTGGCATTTCCTTTCTCCGTCGGTATTTTGCTTTGGTTTTGCTCGAGATGAAATGAGCTTTAGGGAAAACTCAACGATAATTGTCGCTGATGACGATGATATTTTTGATTGAGCTCCTGCTGCTGCTCAACTTTCCACTGAAATGTAGCCATGAGTCTGTTTTCTACAACTTTTGTGCTTGTTTTCAACCTTGGTGACTGATTGTGTTGAGGAAGTCCTTAAGAAGCCTTGGATTTTTCGAAAAGCCCACCAAAACTCGATATTTTGCTCAAAACTTGCCGGAAACTTGCGCATCCGATATTTTGCTCAAAGAATTGCTAGCAAATTTGGGCTATGACTAGTAAGAAGACCACATGGTGTACAATGTACAATGATGTAAGAAGACCACATGATATACAATGTACAATGATGTAAGAAGACCACATGATGTACAGTGTACAATGTACAATGATTACACAGCATTGACACAACCATTGAACCAAATCCTTTTCTGCCCTTACTCAGAGTTTCCACACTCATCAGGCAGCATGCTATGACCAAGACTAGCATTCACTTGATTATAATAATTATGATTTACGTGTATGTTACTGAGTCTCCTTAGCTAGGCGTGGATTTGTAGTATACACAAACTGTGCATGTACTTAGTTGAGGTTTATTTCAGGGTCTGGAGCCTGTCACATTTCTGTGGGGTGTCAGTTTGAACAATGCCCTGTCAGTCGGCTCCATTTCCAGCCTGAAGAGGAATACAAAAATAAGGCAAAGTACCTGACAGCCAGCCTATTGTATTCCTAAGTGTGTACTTAAATAATTATGGCCAGGAGTCTAATTTTAGGCTTCCCGTGCTGGCTACTGATCCTGGCAATCCAGAAGGCAGTACACTGTACAGGACTTTGCAGGAATTGAGATGATAACAAATGCCAGGATTGGTAGAAGGGGTAAGGAAGAAGAGTCAACACTATATAGCCAAGGAGAGAAAGGAGGGAACATATGAAAAAAGAAAAAAAAGTAACTGGCCCATTATACAGAAGGATGGAAGTGGTCAAAGCTAAGTTGACGCTTCAACCATACTGGTCTTCTTCAGAAAGAAGACAGACAGACAGACAGACCGAGAACAAAAGGATAGTGTCTGCCAATGCCGACTGTAAGGTAGATATGTTCTCGGTTGGACAAAAGCAGCTGAAAATCCCCAAGCAATGTCTGTGCAGAAATCCAGTTAGTTTAATTGTAGCTAGTGCTGAAAATTACACACAAATATTTGCAAATATTTGTGAATATTGGTGTGTGTAGTGGCTACCAAGGGTAGCCACGTGTCGGCTGAGAGTGCATGGAGAAAAAGAGGAGAAGAGATTGTTGCATTATTGAACAGCCGCTTGGTACCGTTCACAACTGTATTAATAGTGAGGTTCCGCATAACGTAATTACGTTAGTAAAAAAACGTAGTCGATCTACGGAAAGTCTTACGTAAACTGCATGCGCATCTGTGTTCCGCCATGCAGAGTTTTCAAATCACATAGCTGCCCTTGGCAACTCCGAACGCGGCATTGTACGACCAGATCGACCTGGGGAGAGAGTCATAAATTTGTACCCCAATCCACTCGTTATCAGAACCCTATCTACGTACTCTACATAGACAACTTTCCGTAAGTGGAGTGCAACTCGCGAATTCACGGGTTTTTCTCGCCCAGTAACGTAAAGTTGCTCAACTCCACGTTGTGCGGAACCTCTCTTTAGTCGGAGGGAAACACAAAGAGGCGAAGCCAGTTGTAAATCTGATGAGGCCTTTCGTACCATTACTTCTTAAATCAGAACATGGTGATAATGTGACGAAGCACAACGATGTCAATTTATACAGCATATCGGCGGAAAAGTTGTGACGAAACGCAACTCACACCATCATTCAGCCTGTGTACGTTTCATCACAATTTTTCCGCCAATATACTGTATAAATTGATATCGTTGTGCTTCGTCACATTATCCCCATGTTCTGTTTTGAGAAGTAATGGACTTCTAGGGGGCGTCTTTGAGGTTGGGAGTGTGTTCAGACACGACATTGAACTGCCTGAAGGAGAAAAAAGTGCCAGACCCACCAGGACTCGAACCCGGGACCTTGCTTGTCATGAGCAACGTTCTCTAACCACTGAGCTATGGGACCAGGCTGAACCTAGAAGGCGCTCGCAAGTGTTTCACTCCAAAGGCAGCTCACAGCACGTGCCACACAATACTGATGGCACTAGGGTCTTTTCCCTACCCCGGGGGACCAACCACGGTCGAGAAAGGAAGTGATCAAGGTAGCTCCTGCCGAAATACTTTTTTCCGAAAATTCACCAGTTTGACACTTTTTCAAGTTTGCAGTGCTAGGGGTGTCCAGAATGAGAAAATCAATATACCAGGGTATGTATTTGGGCACTTTGGTGGGGTTATGGCCCCTCGAAGTAGCCCAAGCAAGGCATTCTCTAAGAAAGAGACAGGTTTGCATTGATGACAATATAATGCTTCCAGCCTTCATCTGTTGCATCATGTGATCATGTCAGTAATTCCCATGGTATCAAAACACGTCAGGGTAGATTTATCGGCAAAATACACTGGTTGGAAGTAAAGGCTTCTGTGCCAGGAGACGAGACTGGTATTCCGAACCCAAATTCGATATGGTGCCAAAATGCAAGGCAAGCCGGGATTAGGAAGATCTCTGCACTGCTGGAGGCAAATGATTACCCAGACAACAAAATAAACCGCGCCATCAGGAATGCTGCTTGCTTCGCAAATGCAACACCCCGCCAGTGGAAGAAACCGGACCAAGTCATCCTGAAGCTGCCGTTTACCAACGAAGCACTGTCCGCTCGGGTTTCTCGACGTGTGCGCCAGTTCAGTCCTGATGTTCGTCTTGTGTTCACATCTGGTCTGTCATTGAAGAGAAAACTTGTTCGGTCGTCATTGTCTGCCCGTGTATGTCCCCGTGAGGTGCGGAGAGCGAAGGCGAAGCGTGGTCGTGGTGCATCGATGGTATGTGGAGCATGTGATACGGGTATGTCTGATTGTGAATCCGGGGCGTCGGAAGGTATTTTAGTGTGGTGCGGTCAGCCATCTGAAGTACAGTTTACTATTGTGGAAGGGGTGGCGGAGCCGAAAATTTTGGAAATTTAGAGTCCAGATCAGTGTATTTTATTGATTCACGGGGTACCTGGGGCAAAAAGTGGTACGGTCAATACCGCAGCGACCGTACCGTGTCCGACGCCCCTGTGAATGTGCGGTGGAGCATGTTGTCTAAGTGACAGTATGCTGTGCACGCTTTGTGAAGAGCTGTACGTCGGGGAAGCCAAGCGGCCAGTGCGGGAGCGGTGTCAGGAGCACTACTGGGAAGCACAGACAATGGTGGAGAAAGCTCCATGGAGTAAGTAACCACTAAAAAAAAACCCACTGAGAATCTCACACATCTTCTCAATTTCAGCCCGTCCACCAGGCGAAGATTCTCGGCAGGGAGCCTTCTCTTCCATCACGCCCGTGCCTTGAGGCAACAGAGATCAGAAATCGACGACCAAAGGTGAGCAGTGACAAGGATTGGCGCCTATCGGCATACTTCAGTAAATGAAACTTCCCGGCACATGACTGATCTACAAACTGGGCATCCCACACTTTGTTGTTATCACGAGCGCGAGATCTCAGATTTGACACCTCGGATGGATAGCGATAACGTCACATCTGAAGATTGATTATGACTTCTCCTGGACCAGGAAACCTGCCATTGTCAGAGGAAGGATGTGATCTGCTGCTCGGATTATAGTGTTCGACGCCAACCCTGCAGTCAAGATCTAGATGGATACGTCGCCTCAGCAGCCCACAGTTCTATGTCACACCCAGCAACCTTCCTTTCATATACCGTTGGCTGAATTTCAATCATCGAGGTTAGTGAAGTTTTTGTCTTGTGCAGTTAGCAATCTTCAGATGTGACGGTAAACGTCCGTTATGATTTGTTGGCTTTCACTTGGCGTCTACTTTTCACCTCTCTTTGTCACCACCTCAGTACTTTTGTGACGTGTAAACTAGCGCAACCTATTCCTGTTTACCTCTCCTTCTCGTTGTGATAGATTAAGCACTTGTGATAGTTATGTCTGGTAGGGTTTATAACACCTCCATTCTGCACTATTTAAACAGCCTTCCAACTTGGAAGGTTCTAAGTTATAGAAATAACATGAGGGTAGTTCCTTGGTCCTTTTTACTTTTCATAAATTAATCCTTGGCTCTCCATCCGAGTTCATTATTAAACACCACCAGTTATTTGTACTTTACAATCAGCTCATGCGATAACATTGCAGGACACTGATCAACGGTACTGACGTTCTACACCTAGCTGGCAATCTCGGATGAGCTGATTGTAAAGTAGCTGCAGTGGTGTCAGTGGATGTTATAGCAGAACTTGTAGCTGTTTGGTCTTCTTTTCTTCTTATAAATAAATAATTCATCCTTGGCTCTCCACCCGAGTCTAACAAATTCTATCTTTGTTAATCATATGTACATGTGAAATGGCCGGCTCCCCCGTTCCCCGCAGCAACACAACTCTCTCACTCATGGATACAGTCCGTTGGTTTATTGCAACAGAATAAATACTGATTGGCGAGAGAACGGGGGAAAAAGACCACGAAATCGTAAACGACTAACAGTTATAAACAGGAAAAAGGGTGAACAAATTGAAACGACCAATGCGTGACCAGTACGTACGATACACGTGACAAGAACCAAGACAACAACACCGTGGACGAGTCACACCACTCTCTCGCACCCAAACCTTACTCTCACAGCGCATGCTCCACATAGTCCACGCATGCGCAACAACTAGTAAACAAACGCTCTCGCACAGACGGAAGCAGATTCCGCCACTCAACAATGCATACTCCTGCATGCACCACACACACCACACCCACACACCACTCCCATATTCTGCACACAACGCACCACACCCATACACACAGAAGACCATATTTGACACCGGACTGGACAGAACAGCAAGACCAGAGACAACAGCGGGTGCAAATAATAAGCGCGTCGAATTTCGCAATACATGTACCACTCTTTGTCTAAAAAAAGGACTTGATTCCATACTTAGTTTCTAGTGTATAGCAGAGCTGGATTATACGCCGTTGGAGACTGCATTACTGACGGCGCTGGTTGGCTTTCTAGCATTTCAGGTGACGGTCCTAGCCAGGGGATGGTTGACGAGGCTCTGGAGGCCGATGCCGAACTGTCCGTGTCACCAGCGGTAGTTTGGCTGGTCAGTGCTGTGGCGGCGCCGTTCTGCAACGTAGTCCAACTTCCCATGATGTTGGGATGCGCGGGCATATTGGTGACGCTGTCTACGCGCCCTTTCAGACCGCACAGCAAGCCAGTCAATATCGGCGCACGTGACAGCTGCTGCTCCAGCGGCTGCTGGTCTAGAATAGACGCTGTGTTGCCCGCCGCTGCTGGCAATCCTCCGTTTGTTGGCACACTGGACGTCGGCGTAGGCAGCTGGCGACCGGAGTCTGGAGAAACAACAACGCCGGACGCCGGTAAGATGCCATTTAAATCCTTTGCCTCTGAGAAACACAGCCTGTGCGGCAGCGGCAATCGCTGTATTTGCATGTCGGCGGGGGTACGGATGGATGCTTGCGAAACACCAGTTGAATCACTCAGCGCTGGGAAAGGAAGCGGCCTACCGCCAGTGGCTGGAGAATCACCACCGCCGCTGGGCGCCTGTAAATCACCATTTGAATCATTTGTCTCCGGTGAAACAAGCAGCCCAAGCCCAAAAGGCAGCTGCTGCTTTCTTTGAGCGGGGACGGGGAAACGGGCGGATTCTTGTTGAACAGCGGTTGAATCACGCAGCTCTGGGAAGGCAAACCTGCCACCAGTGGCTGGGGGAAATGCGGATGCTGCTGGCATGGCACCAGTTGAAGTAGTTGATGGTGGGAAAGGTATCGGGAGCTGCTGTTGCTGATGTGGGACTGGCCAGTCCGCAGATGTTTGCAAACCAGCAGTTGCACCAGATTGCACCAAACCAGTGAACTGTTTGCTTGTGATGGACGGGTTGCTAGATGCTGGCAAACCACCATTTGAAACGCTTGGTGGCATGTGAAAGGGGAACTGCTGAGCTGGACTGCTGGAAACATGAGAACCACCACTTACACCGTTTTCTGTGTGGCAGAGCATGCGCCCACCAAGTGCAGATTGGTTGGCGTGCACTGAAGTGGATTGCAGGAACTGCATTCCTGCCTGTTGGTGGCTTGTTGCGTTCGGAACACTCTCAGCTGCACCACCATTGCGCACTGGTGCTGGCTGCAGTCTGGCCGGGTACGCATTGTCTGAGCTGATGTGCGGCTGTGCGCTGGGGGTCCTTAGATGCCGCTCCAACACGCCATCGTATGCGCTGTTGTGTGGCGACGAGACTCCTGTGTGGTTCCAGGCCGCGTGCAGCCCATGGCGAGGCTGCATGCCCTCCATGCCCAGATTGTCTGCAAAGGGCATTTGAGTAGGCAGCGACAGTGGCTGGGATAACACGTTGCCGAGCACCTGCCGTTGGTGGTGATCGTACCCTAGCGGCGCCATCGGAGTCACTTGATATTGTTGCTGGAAGGGGGCACCTGTGACGACGTCCACACCATTTAGCATGTCTAAGACGGAGGGGCCAGCTGCATCCTGCTTGTCCTTTTTGGCCTTGTTTTTCCGCTTGGGCTTGTATTTATAATCTGGATGTTTCTGTCAAGATGCAGCACATAAAAAAAACAATAAAACAGTCCCATAGTTAAACAGAAAGTTAACTTTAAAAAACAAAACACATACAAAACACAGTGTCTGTACATAAGGGAGTAGAGTGAAAGTTTAGGGGGTTTGCCCGTAAAAATGGCTCTCGACTCTTTCAGTTTGTAAGCTCTTAGAATCGTGTGGAGAAAGACAGAAAAGAATTAGCCATTGTTTTTTTTTATCTCCCTCTAACTTTGGAATAGCCAGATGACTGGCTACATTTGTCCACCGCTCTGGACCTAGGTTTTAATTAGGGCTGAGTCGAGTAGCATTTTCTTCGGGTATCGGGTTCGGGTAGTTTTCCATGGGTAGCACGGGTACCCGATCGGGTAATGTTTCCATGGTAACACCACAATGCACCCCTTCCCTTACGCACTGCTGGGTAGACATGCGGAGTGTGACGTGAATTTGTACACATGCACTGTACATGATGTCACCTGCGACTTCGGGTTTTCGGGTACTATTCTGTACCCGTCTACCCGAGGTCCTCACGGGTAGCACGGGTACCCGACTACCCGTGCATACTACTAGTTTTAATCGTCTTGGCTGCTGCAGACCCGGCGGAAGGACTGGCTTGCAGCTACTGCATGTACAGTCAACTTCGCTTATAACGACACTCGGCGGGGCGTCAAAAAGGTGTCCTTATTCGCGAAGTGTCGTTATACCCGAAGTCTCATTATATGTGTTACGGTGGGATGGGACTTTGCTCTGGGCATGGAAATTCTGTCGTTATTCGCGAATTGTCATATCCGCAGTCGTTATTAGCCAAGTTGACTGTAGTAGGTAAGGGGCCATCCGTAAATACCCATATGTATTTAGAAACGAAAACTATCATTTCTCTTCAACCCCCTCCCCCCTCCCTGAGAAACGAACACATAAAAATGGTACATTGTATCGATATTTTTCCATTTTTTTCGGACGTGCCCACACATACAAACTTTACATAGATATTTTTCGAGAAACGAACAGGCGCTCAACCCCCTCCCCCCCCCTAAACGACTAGTTTTCGTTTCTAAATAAATATCTATATTTACGGATGGCCCCTAAACTGGAATTCGCTCGCAATTCTACAGCCACGTCCCACTGTAGGTAACTGGAACCGTGGGAGGTACTAGCAATCACTTGTACAACTCTGCGAGTCCTTGTGCTCAATAAGTGACAACACTGCATGTGTCTACTATGCGGCATGCACACACGTTGTGTTGAGAGTCTGTCCATCAAATGCGTAAAACTTTGGAATCGGCAGGAGATCTTTATGATCGAACTGCTTTTGCATGTTGTAGAGAATCCTGGAGTGGACAAGAGTTGTGACTACTGTTTTGTGTTATTGTTCCCGCTGTCTACTCTGCATTGCATTTTCAATTTTCCATTATCATTATTTTCGTCATATTTGCGTTGCGTTGCCATGGCGACATGCTGCTAAGCACGTGTACCACTACAAACACGAAACAATTGTTGTTGTGCCCATACTCCACAGCACTATGCAGAATACGCTACGTCTAGGGTCCACAGCGCTTTATTTTATGCGTGTGTGTGAGTGTGTGTGTGTGTGTGTGTGTGTGTGTGTGTGTGTGTGTGTGTGTGTGTGTGTGTGTGTGTGTGTGTGTGTAGTTCGTCATCGCGTGGTCGAGTGGCTTCAGCAAAATAATCATGATGAACTGATGAGCAAGCATCGCGAAGAGTCCTGAACTAGCTCTCTTATTTTGAGATTTTGTACTTCAAAGTCTAGATACCGTACAACGAAGGCCGTGTCGGATTCTCCCCCGATTCTGAGATCCGCCTGCTCTCATCAGATTACGTAATCATCAGGAAAAGAAGCATTTGCTCAATAACAAACGCAAGGTCATATGGTGGGTTTGTGACGCGCTCGGATCACCGACCAGTGATTGTCGATTTCCAGCTCTCCTTTCATACCGTTCGTGCTGGGAAGAAATCATCCGAGCCTTGTTTCATCAAATACAATTCACCATCAACAGAAACTGCTGGCAGGTTTCGGGAACTGCAGCTGGACACCGTACCAGAATTCAAAGCCGCAGACATGACATGCTCGAAAGCAGATGCAACATGGGGAGAGTTTGTGTCAACAGTCCACTCAGCAGCCCAACAGTCTTTTGGAGTAAGACCATCTGGACAGAAGGCAGTTAGAAGTACCAACCCTATTGTGGCCAAGCTTTCCAAGCTTTCCCTTTTTATTTATTTTTACAGTACAACAGCCTCTTGTACGGGCAAAAAAAAACAATCATTAGATCAAGCGCACATGGTGATGATTATGTACAATGCATTGTATAATGTCATTAATGACACTTGACAGATATACAGTGAAACCTTGTTAGGAAGAACACTGATAAGACAAATGTTTGCCTAAGAAGAACTAGTATTCGTAACTGTATTGGATAAAACCCTGTGTATTCACTGGGTAAAACATATGGATAAGAAGAACTCCCGTTATTGCGAACGAATATCATCGGTCCCTTGATGTTCGTCCTAAAGAGGTTTGACTGTACGTAAGTCTCAAGCTGAGATTCTTGCTTCGGCAACAACAAGCGTTGCCGAGTCTGAAGCCATTGCTGGTAAGAAAGCCTTGCGTGCACCACGCAGGCACATCAGCGCTGAACGGATCAGTGCAAAGCCAATCTGGCAGCGGATGGAGGCTAGGGTGAAGCTGCATGGCTCACCAGTCTTGGCGGTGAGGGGAGAGAGGCGATATGTTTGTATAGCGTGGTGCCATGCTTTCCCATGCCTCCGGTGGTAGAGAAGATGGCTGGGACAAAGCTGGAGTGCTCCACCTCCCGGAGGTGCTGCTCATAAGCACGACGCTTAGCATTTTCATGACGGACATATGTAGCGGCAAGTGAGTCGGAGCGGTTTGAAGACGCATGGGGTTGAACACCCGTACATCAATGTAGGTGCGTTCGAACCGTCGTCACCAAATGCCACTAGCCACGCCGTCTAGGCATGCCTGGTCATCGGCAATAGCAGTGCGATAACGGAGTTGTTCTCCGGAGAGTGGCTGGAGGTGTGGCTCAACTGCTACCTGGTGGACCACCCGCCTGAGCAGACGAGCAGTGAGGTCCCTCACCTCATTGTGACAAATGGACAGGTATCCACCCGTCGGACACGAGAGAGAGTGGGACACAGTGAACTGCTGCCCACACGCGCACCGTGATGGTAGACAGACCGGTAGCCAGTTGAAGTGAAGGCAGACAGCATCCCGAAACTCCGGCTTCGCCAGGGTAAAGCCATGGCGTTAGGTTAGGTAACATAACATAACCTTAGGTACAGGCATTGTTGCCTTCTTGCTGTGGATCATAAATGATGCCACAGCTCCTAGGCTACGATGAAAACGTGCATAAGGGGTCAGCACGTAAGCTAGCTTGAGGCACTCGGTTCCGAAACCAGAGCGATCACTCGCTGTAGCCCTGGACTGGCGGAGGAAGAGAAAGCCTTGGTTGCCGCCCGAATTGACTCCCTGGCTGTCGCCATCTCGCACTTCTTGGCAGTGCAAACACCATGGACGGCCATGCCAAGAACTGGATCTTGGGCCAGAACACGGCAGATGAGGGAGGCAGTGATGTCAAGGGAGGACTTTTGCTGTTCGGCCCAGGACGACGGATGAGGTAAGCCAAGGACTCCAAAGCGACATGGCAAAGCCATCAGGGTGCGCTCCTCAGCATTGACTGTGCGACCTAGAAGAGCAGGAGGGTAGTTATCAGAAAACTCACTGTTGTATGAGCCCTTTGGCCCCGTACGCCGTATGCACACACGTCCGTACACCTGATTATTATACTTACACTTCTGCACATTCCTGTACCGTACACACCCATTCATGCACTCTCCGCTGACCTTTGCCTCACTTACTTCACTGCTGACTTCTATCTTCCCGCTCACCCTGTTCCCGCTTACGCCCTTGCTGACTCCTTTGCCTGGCTTACTGCATGCATCCCTTTTCCTGCTCACCGCGTCCCTGCTTACTGCATGCAGGCGCGTGCGCCGGTGCCCTTGAAGGGGGGGGGGGGGTTCCGGGGCGTTCCCCCCCCCCGGGAAAAATTTCAAAAAATGAAGCAAAATCCTGCATTTTGAGCGAAAAAAGGGGGTTCCCAGGAACCCATTTGGGGCACGCGCCTGTGCAGCATGCACCCGCTTCCCCTACTTGGTAAGATTAATATACCTCCAACTCCTTCTAATCTTCTAGTCTTACCCTGCCCTTGTTGTTGTTGTTGTTGTTGTTGTTGTTGTTGTTGTTGTTGATTTTTATTTTACTTTGCAAGGCCAAACGGGCAATGGTGCCCAATTCTATGGAAGCGAATTTCAAAGGGGGAGAGAGCTACGGGGAGAGAGAGAGAGAGAGAGAGGGGGGGGGGGGAGGGAGGGAGAGAGAGAGAGCGAGATAGAGAGAACGGGAGGGAGAGAGAGAAAGGGGGAGAGAGAGCGAGCCACAGAGAGGGAAGCAGTGAGGTTAGGGACATCGGGCGTGGTGGGCGCATCAACGTGTGGTTGGTGGTAGCAGCGAAGAACAAATTGCTGTGTAATTTAGGCTGATAAGCGATTTTGAAGCGTCAACAAAGCGACCCTGTCCTGGAGTCGGAAGCTCTGATGTGGTCATTAGTAGTGGAATCGTTAGTAGCAATATTGTAGCTACTATTTCATGCTGTCGCTACATCTTTTGTATTTCATGCTTTTCGCACAAGTTTTCAGTTTGTGAGACTTCATTCACTCTTCTTCTCTTTCTTTTCTTCTTCTTTGAAGGTGACTGCATGTTTCTTGCATGCATGCATACATCGTGTACCTTCATTTGCTCTTGCGTTATGCCTTCTTTTTGATGGTTGCTGTTGCTAATTTGGATTGGAATAAAAACAATTCGCCCAGCAGCATTCATTGTAGCCAGTAGATCTATACATGATGTAGTATTAAAGATGGGATATTGTCATAATAAGACAATCATTATGACTATTACTGTCTATTAGTGAGTATGTAGACGGGTGCTCCTGTGCACGTACACGACCTGTAGACACTGAAACTAACTTGTGAAAGACACTGCACTGATGTCCAGGGTTGGGAACATCTAGTATCTACCAGCGGCCATGCGTTCTCCTGGAATGCTGGTCTGGAGTGGCAGCCAAGTAGCCGCCAGTTCAGCGCATGCATGCGGTGGGGGCTGTACCCGTGTACACGCCCCGCGGCCCGTTGCACACGGCTGTGCATGAGTATGTGCGCGTGGTAGACTCTACCGCATGTAGTAGCTCCCTGGATCCATGGACTCGACTGTGCCTTTACTGGCTTTAGAAAGCCTTCAAGGTTCACACGTTTGCTCTACATCTGGAAGTGCTCCCGACTCTCAAGCCAAACTACTACTAGTAATCTGCTGAAGTGGGCTGAAGTACTGCTACGCTACAGCCTAGCCCAGGCGCAGCTAAGCTTTACTAACTTAGAAGGAGCCCAGCTGCCCCCCAGGCAAAGGTCGCACGTCTTGAGGGGGATCCAGTCCTTCTACAGTGCTACAGCCTACAGGGTTGGAGAACTGCTCTCCGGGAGCTCCGCCGTCCTGCTGGGTCGATTACATGTTACTCTGCGATCCGCTCTTGAGCAAGTTCAAGTGTCTGGCACCGGCTACGCAGTATCTAGTTGAGCTACCTGTACGGCTGAACACAGTCATGGTTCAAAACTCTGCGATCGGTCCGACGGACTAGCAAATTCTCAGACTAGGAGGTTGGATTGCCGAAAGTGCAGTAGATCTACGTGTGCATAATAATAATTGCGCGGCTTCCTGTATATTGTACAATGTACCTGGATGGTGTCGGAGCAGCGTCTCAAAAGGCTAATCTATTTTAGCTACGTGCTTGTACTACAAGCGTGTTGAACACTCGACAGCCTGCCACAATAATAGCGGCGAATAGTGCCTACTTGGTCTGGCCAATTATTCCCACCACGGACACTGTACGTACGTGTACATGGTTTCTACTCTATTCTGTACTTCCAGTCTTAGGTCAGAGTAGATACAATCGAAATAATCGCAATAATTGTTATTTCTTCAATCGAGCGCATGCAGTACTGACACCATTATCGCGGTCGCACCTTCTTCTATTCGTCCTGAACTAACCAGACTGCTGGCCCCACACCTTCTGCATATTTCTTACCATGTCGTTCTGCAGATCTGCATGTATGTAAGATCAGCGAGTTTCCAGTCAAGACAACTGACACCACCCCATTGACGGTATCCTGCATTAGACCCGCTGGCTACTCCTTGACTCGCTGAACCGAAATTAATTGCTCGCCCGTGTAAGCCGCCCAGCTGGATGCAGCTGCTGAAGCGAAGTAAGTAAAAAATAGTTAGCCGTCCATGACTTCATGTCCCATGGCTTACTACACACACTGCTCCTCACGTGTTCAAGTACATAAGTCGGTGTTCACCGTGACGCGTGGAAAGACCAGGACTCGGCAGGAGGTTGCACCAACGGTCCAAACCACCGAGTCGTAAAAACCTACTTAGCGACTCCCTGCAGCCTGGTTGGACCATCGAAACACATACGCCGTACACTGTCCTCGCAAGCCTCCTGAATCTCAGCTAGAGGCGGTATCGCAACGGAGGTGGTGTATTACTAGAACATTGCTGTTTAGCTGCCTTTCAAGTAACCACACGAACCACGATCTAGTTCGAGCCCTAATTGCACAGGGCTCGAACTCGCAACCCGGCTTTCCTTCCATCCACCACAGACCGCGGTTGTCACGGTTTCTCAACACACTTGTATGGCACGTTGTAATGCGGACGTGCGAACTTCACATTTACCACAAACCGCACAGCCTACCGTATGTCCGTGAACATGGTGAAAGTGCCAGGTGGCACAGTAGTGGTAGCTCTTGCACGCATCATCTAGCGGTACATGTAGTGCAAATAGAATGTAAGTGCAATGACCAATGTTGTCAAAGGACCGGCGGTGCATTACTCAGCACCGCTCCGTAGAATGCGAACTTTTTAATTTTTTTATTCTACGAATGACACAATCCCACGATCAGACAGAGAAAGGAAACAGCAGTGTATAATTGTTTTTGCCAAACTGCTTGAGCCTAGCTTGTACGGGCAAAATACTAGTAACACAAAAACACATTCGTGAAGCATTAAACGAATGATAATGATTATTACATGGAACTATAAATAATTGTAGTACTAGGAACTACACATACTACTATTGTACTGTGACTACATGTACTTGGCAGCTACGTGTAATGGCTTCAGGAATCCGACCATGTAGTTCCAGATCGAGAACTGCGTTTCGCCATCTTGAGCATCGCTCAGGCATGCAGATAAACTGATTAGATAATATATGTAAACACTGTCATCCATGGATTCATTGGGTCTGCATCACTGAAGACAGGGCTTTCCACGACCCCGCCATGGTCCACATACTAGTACTAGTAGTCCGTGCCAGGCCCAGAGGGTAACCTCTGCCTCTAGTGTAGTCTGGGCCTTGGCCTGGTCAGATCAATGCATTCCTACAGTGCAGACATTCACATCTACACGACTGCTGCCTTAAATTAAACTCGCAGCAGCATGATGAACGCACTGGGGCATAGTATTTTAGTGACCAGTGCAGTCGACGAATCTCTTGGTCTGTCACCTCAAAGACAAACAGAAACAGGTTCCTGAAGTTCTAGGAGGCCATCTCCTCACGCCCAATGTTAGACTTAGTCCATTATCCTGATTATTGCATACTGGCATGTTGATCAGTGCTGGACGGGTAGATCCAATGATGCAAGTCGAGAATGCCGCTCGCTGTAGACTGGCCCCACTCGCAAATGAACACACTACATGCACTACCCGTGAATTTGCACTGATGTTCTTCGAAATACATGTAGGATCCAAGCGACTGAGCCAAGCTTGCCAGACGACGCACAAGCTTACTCCTGTACAATGTCAGCGGCGAATGCTGCATCTGCACTCACTTCTATTACCATTCGTCCCTGCCACCATCATAAACAAACATGCATCCGGAGTGAGTGATCTGGGGGGCCACCCGCAGCCAAAATACATGACGAAAGTCATCTTGATGAAGCAGATAAATCTTGGAGAACAATAGCGCTGCCATTGTGTTGTGTCATGTCATCTATTGTGTTCGGTGTAGGTGTGGAGAGTCTTCACTTTGCTGACACCAGGGAAAACAATACGCTCCGGCGTAAACGTTTCTCAGCCTCCCCTCCACCTGTGATTAATGACATGATGTTGCAACTTCCCCTTAAAAGGAAGTCGCAACACTGGGCTAGCTGCATAGCTGCATAGCCAGTGTAGTGTGACAGTTGTGTGAGAACTGGTCGTATGATTGATAGTGTAGACCTGTTTGTTATCTACTAGTACTACTCAGCAGCCCACACCACACCAGCAGTAACCTGAACACTAGTAGCAACACCGTAGTAGCCTGGCACATTCTATTGCTATTTAAGTGGAGGCCTATTGTTAGCTGGCAAGGGTGTTGAGATGCGCCAAGTGCTGTAAACAATCCTGAGGAACCTTCCACCTTGCTCCCTATCCAACTAACTTGCTGGGCCCAGCCGGCTCGCACAGTCACACTCCCAATGAGTGTACTACCTTCGACAACAGACACTTAATTAGGCAACAGACAAAGAAGCCAATTTCCTCTAGTGCTGAACGTTACTTGTTCCATGCCCAGTTCCTGCGGATTGAAGACTAGACACATGGCCTGTATTCAATATTCAGTACATGTGCTTCCAATAATGTCTTTTTTTTGACGGCCTCTTATACAGGCAATCAGAGAACATGATATCACTGGCCTGACACAACAACTTAAGAAAAACAAAAACAAACAAAAATATAATGTCTGCACTCATGGAACTATAGTTTAGTTGCCAGAAGACCTCACCTTTTTGCTGTGCCAGTGTGTTGAGCTTGAAGCCACACCGTCCAGCAATTCTCACACCGTCCAGCAATTCTCACTCCAGAAGTATGAAGCCAAGTACGAAACAATGGGCCATAGACAAATCAGACCAAGATTGGTCTGTGTGTTCACTTGTCTCACTCATGTAGGTACAGTTAGCTCTGCGTTCCCTGCTGCCAATCTCACTACCCATTGCAGGTGTTTCTCTTCTTCCCATTGCTGACCTCTGCATGCCTTATTCTTTCATCTGCTATTAGTGAGTATTACTTTGATTATGTACTTCTAACAACATTCTTATGTGGCTGAACGTCGAAAAGTGTGTATCAACTTCTAAAGCACTGTACGAGATGACGGCGGAATTCGTGGATTAGTAGTGACCTCAATCTGCAGTATAGAGATTTTCTCTAGTTTCATGAATGCCTAACTCAACCTTTTTCGCCCGCAGGAAGGCGTGGCATACCTTCGCTGCTTTTTGTTGTTGTTGTTGTTGTTGTTGTTGTTGTTGTTGTTGTTGTTGTTGTTGTTGTTGTATAACTGTTACTTGATTATAGCGGTAGTCAACACGTGCCGCGTTAAGCCTAATAACAATGGACCCACTGCCCCTCCTTCTTAGGCTTTGTCGCACAACTCTCCTACACGAACAGCTATTGAAAGGTATGCATTCCTTCTGGCCCGCATGCTGAAATATCTTCCTTATTGGCCATGGGCCATCGTGGAAACATAGAATAAAGAATGGGAATCATTAAAATTAAAAGAAAGGACCGAAAGTGTACATGGTATCCGTAGTTCAGGTTGTTGAATGTCACTACCACATCAGTCAGTATTGTGCTAACTGCTGCACCTTCTGACGTCATAATCTCTTGCTTACCGTATTTCCGCAAATAAAAGGCCGTATACAACGCCTTCCTCGTATACAAGGCCGGGGCAGGGGCGATTGAAAAAAATAAAAGACCGTCTCCGATTAGAAGACCGGGCCTACTAAAATGAGTCTTTGTTCTTGTGTTAAAAATAGAAGACCGTGCTCAAACTGTGTAGAAGAAAATGGAAGAACGGGGGTAAAACTGTGTGGCGAGAAATAGAAGACTGTCCTCGAATACAAGACCGTCCTCGATTATAAGGCCGGGTTAGGTCGAGGTTGAAAAGATAGTAGACCGGCCTACTATTTGTGGAAATACGGTATATATGTATCTGTAATAGCATTGGACCAACTACGAATAACATGACGTGTACTGTAAGAGCAGACATTTTCGGTGGTGTAAAATTTTTGGTATTCTCCAAAATCGGCGGTTTGGTGGAGGGAAATTTTCGGTAAAACCCGTTTTCCAGGTAAGTGCACTAGTACTACATGTATACAGTACCGGTTGTACCGAAATTTTCGGTGCGTTTTATTTCCGATAAAAAAATTGTCCGCACCGAAGTTACCGAAATAAAACACCACGGAAAATTCCTGCTTTTACAGTAAGCTTTTGGTCCTTTCTTTTAGTAATAAAAGTAGACCTACAGTCTCCCGGGTGGTTTGGGGAAGCGGGTACCCATCCACCATCGCCCAGTCCATTTACAGTTTACGTAATCCACAGAGTTCTGCCTCTTGCACGTACATGTACATGTACATGTACGTGCAAGAGGCATACCTTTAGACTTAACAACAGCCAGTGCTGACGGCAAAAAATTGTGCGACTGTGCGTGCACGTAAAACTGTGCATGCACGTAGACACTTGTGAAGCCTACGAATTAAGGAAGCAGAAGCCTTGGAGTAACACGATAGACAAGACGGAACAAGATGATGCTCAGTGATGTATACCGGTGTGTACTTGTATATTAAAGACAGATTGTGAAAAATATGCATGTAAGCGTGCTAGTGCAATGTACATGTATGTAAGCAGTACGTGTCTTACCCGCATATGCTCATGCCGTAGCTCCTTGGCCACCACTGCGTACTTCTCCTGATCCTCGTGTGAAAGTTGTTTCCACATTTTCCCTTTACGTAGCAGCAGCAGCAGCAGCAGCCACAGCAAAACAAAACAAAACACAAAGAAACACAAGTGACGTTGCAGGATGCAGTTATTTGTAGATGGTCAGTGACGTCGGTCAGTGTAGTGCAATGTTTTCGCATGACCTTTTTTATTTTTTTTTTGTATACTATGTGCACATCCCTACAAAGTAATAGGGGTAATATAAGAGACAAAGACAAAATACAAAGACAACAAAGGAGTAGTAGGTGCTACAGGAGCTGTGCTGGTCAGGCGCAGTGCACCCCTGATTGTCAAGTAACTGGTGGTGTTAGTGGACATTATAGCGTAATTTGTAGTTCCTTGGTCCTTTCCCCTTTTCTCTCACCGAGAATCTTGCTGATCGCTGAGTTGTGCATCTTTGGGTTATCAGCGGCCAGCTCCTTTCGTTTTTCCTTCGCGAACGCCAGGAACTTGTTCATCGGGCGCCTTATGCGACCATCCTTTTTCTGCTCGCCACCTGGGTCTGACGTCGATACGTCGGAAACGCCTTCTAATGACGCCTGCGCATCTTCCGCGGTCCCTTCAGCGACTGATGTGGCGAAGGAGCTGGACTCCATGTTACCCTCCTCCGGAGTTTCGGCGGTCTGGGCTGGAGAGACGACGACATTAGTTGGCTGACCATGTCCGGTGGTGCTTAGTACTCTACGTGCTGACACTGCAGCAGCTTGTGTGGACAGTTGGTGAGTAGGCGGACCGCCGCTGCCGTTGGGTGATGGAAAGCCGGCCAGCGGTTGTCGCGCGGATAGCTCACCGTTTGGTCCGACCGGCAGCTCCAGATATTTTGGTTCTTTACCGCCTCGGGTTGCCCAATACCGCTCCATGTAATGAGACGACATAGATCCCGACGCTTGCCCAGCTGACGGTCGATGATGGTCATCAGTGGTCCTTTGTAGCGGAAGCGTAGCGACAGCAGGAAGACTGCGAGGCGGAGCTGCTTGCCTTTGATTGATGGTGGGCTGAGTGAGCTGGACATGACCAACAGGAGCCCGGGCTGCCGAGTTGTGACCATGAGCGTCGGAACTCTGAGCGATCGAATACGGATTCCGAAGAGGTGGTTCGGCCGTGGACGCTAATGATACTGGCCGTTGGACGATCCGTCTCATGACTGATCCGGCGGTATTGACGACCTAGGTTTTTGAAATGACGTTTGGTATGTGGATTGCTGGTTTCAAAGTGATCAAACATGCTCGCAAATAAACGTGTAAAACATTCTACAAGAACACCAGCTGTCTTTACCAAATAACAGGACAATACTCAGTACTAATAGAGCAGACCGAGAGAAAGACAGGCAGCAGAAGAGAGAAAGAGACGATTGTCTTGACACTGCTCCTTTCCTTCTACTACAATTTAGCACAAGTATTACACGTACTGTGTGGTCGGGCTGTTTATATTAGAATCTGCGTGTAGTACTGGGCCATGGGGACATATCAGCGGAGAACACGAATCGGGTCGATCGTGACAACGCCACCTAGTAGTACCTACGAATGTAGTACTAGTAGGAGTAGTACCTAAGTCCTTGAGAGGTTAGACATTGAGTGTGACCACTGCAAAAAGTAAGTGCTCCGGACTTTGGCCGGCATGCCACTCTTCGCATGGCACTTGCACTCTGCATCATAGTGTATGATGTAACGACTTACGTCGTTAGTACTTGCTGTGCACTGTGTGCAGCCGCATACGTAGACTCTACACGAAGTGCGGGTACAGTATAACGTTAGCACTTCCTGCAGAAACTAATACGTTATTACTTTATTATAACGATAGCACTAGCAGACGTACAGACGTACACTCAGGGCACAGTGCTGCTCAGTGAAATCCAGTCACGTCACTGAAGTCTGCGCCTTGCACCATTTTGTAGCCCAATTCCAGTGTTCACAGGTCTAGGGCTGCGCAACGCCCGGCGCGTACTGAGGGATGTGACCGGATTTCATTGAGCAGGATTATGATTGTGCAGACCTACATTGTTTAACCAAGAGTACATAAACCTTACTCTTGCTATAACCAAGAGGATAACCCCCGTGCTATAACCTATAAACCTCGTAATACCCCTGAGATTAGTCAGATTACGATAGCCCGGTTTGGCCTGTAGTGTAGGCATTGGCGGATAATGCTCGAAAAGGTGGCAGATTCTGCTCGAAAAGCAGTGAAATCAGTGGCAGAACCATACAAACCTTATGGCGGACAATTCCTCGACCGGATGATTCTGCTCCATTTCTTTATCCACATATCAAACATGCATGAAACTTACCAGAAAAAGTACCGAATTCTGCCAATTTTCTGCCGGCATTACCCGCATATGCCTACTGTCGTGTAGATTGTTGCCGTATGTACATGATATAACCTAACACCAAGAGTACATAACCCCGTACTCTTGCTAACACTGGTTAAAAACCAGTATTAGATAAACCTTGTTATAGTTCACGCGTTAGATGGACAGCATGAAACAAGGCGGGGGACACTGTGTTCGGAAACAGTGACCTAAGTCCTTACTACAACCTTCCGCGGTTGGCAGAGCCCCGGTCCCTGCGGACCATTTGAACCATATGGGTATCGCAACCGGTTCTGACCCTCATTATGCTAGGGGGTTAGGAGACTACTCCTGATGTCGTCTTGTTTTCTTCGCTCTTTTCTTTGACTTGTATAAAGACTTCTTTTCTTTTTCTTTTTTCTTCCAACTTCTGCCCATGGCGTCCTGCTCTCAGCTCGTCAACTGTCAACAGTTTTTTTGTCATCACCATGACACTGTCGCGAGAAGGTGCTCTCTGTAGACGGGGTTGGTGATGTCCCGACGTGGCCATGGGTAGGCCTTCACCACGTCGGAACACCCCGGCTACACGTTGGTTACCTCCACTCGTTAACTTGTTTGTTGTTGATGTTGTCGCGTAAACTAGTACTGGTCAAGAAAACTTGAATTTCACCTACAAACCTGAGCAACTGCTTCAATTTTGCTACACGTTGGTTACCTTCATCAGTACCGCTTGGAAATAACTCGCATGTTGTTGATGTTGTCACGTAAACTTGAACTGTCAAAAAAACTTGGAATTTCATCTGCAAACCTAAACAACTACAAGTGCCTCAATTTGATCATGCCGTTTTGTTAGTTACGTGCATACCCTCACAAATTTAAAGAAAAAACGAGCTTGAGTTACGTCTTACCGTATTTTCCGGAGTATACTGTAGTGTGCACTTTAGATGTGCTATTTTAGGCCCTAAATCGCAGGTGCGCACTATGCTCCGAATATGAAATGCATGAACTTCAATGAAGATTGAAGTGCGCACCCTCAATGAAGATTGGGGGTGCGCATTATACAAAGGTGCGCACTATACTCCGAAAAATACGGTACCTCCGGTGTCAACTCGTATCAAGTGGAGTTAATCCTGGGGTGAACGGCAGTTGACGAGCTGAGAGAAGGACGCCATGGGCAGAAGTTGGAAGAAAAAAGAAAAAGAAGTCTTTATACAAGTTAAAGAAAAGAGCGAAGAAAACAAGACGACATCAGGAGTAGTCTCCTAACCCCCTAGCATCATGAGGGTCAGAACCGGGTGCGATACCCATAATATGGGTATCGCACCCGGTTCTGGTTCAAATGGTCCGCAGGGACCGGGGCTCTGCCAACCGCGGAAGGTTGTAGTAAGGTCACTGTTTCCGAACACAGTGTCCTCCACCTTGTTTCATGCTGTCAATCTACGTCACAATTGTACAGACGTCATGACGTCAGTGTATCATGGGACCGGGAACGGCCGGCAGTGCTTCATCATGGTGTGATATTAATCACTAGAGTAGTAGAGAGGTTACATTAGACTTAGAGAGGTCAATTCGCTCGTGCCAGGCCACCACTATGCCTACCACCAAGAGCACATAAACCGGTTTATGTACTCTTGCTACCACCAAGAGTACATAACCCCCCAGAGTGTTCAACTCCCACATACCCTGTTGTCCCGACAGAATTTCAAGTTGACGTCATTATTTATGACGCAATGCTCCTTGCAGCAGTGATTTACAACATGTGTACGGGTGTCAACGCATCACACGTTTTTCTTTGCAATAATTTGTACAGGATCGATCGGCTTCGGTCAACCACAGGTTCCGGATTCGTCTGATAATCCGTGTACAGTGCGCATTGCATCATCAAAATGACGTCAACTTGAAATTCTGTCGGGACAGCAGTGCACCCATAGTGGAGTTGCACACTCTGGGGGGTTATGTACTCTTGCTACCACTAGTACCAGGGTGGCAGATCGGCGAGGGTGAGGTGATAACTCTCACAACCAATGCCCAACAAGGGGGCGAACCTCGTTAGCTGCATCCATGATGTAACTGCTACCCTCACTTCGAGTAGTGAGCACTACTTGTAGTACCCAGTTTAATATTAATAATAATAATCTTTAAGTTGACCCTGGGTGTTGGGTAGGTATACATGTATGCGGATAATGCCGGCAGAAAAGTTGGCAGAATTCGGTACTTTGTCTGGCAAGTTTCATGCATGTTTGGTATGTGGATAAAGAAATGGAGCAGAATTCGAGGAATTGCCCGCCATAAGGTTTATATGGTTCTGCCAATTTCACTGCTTTTCGAGCAGAATCTGCCAATGCCTAGACTGTCGGGTGGTGTCGGCGCAGTTCCTTGCATGTACATGTACATGCACATGCACATGTATGTGGGTTCACGCATGCATCACGTTTGTCCTTGTCTCAGTACCATTGTCTTTCAATATTATTAATTTTACGAGTTGGGTATGTGAACATAGTAAAAAAATAAAAAATAATAAATCACCGCATTTGTTAGCACAGACCCTGCTCCCACAGAGCGCGGGTCTCGCGTTATTTGGCTCCCGCGTCGAAAAACAACGCGAGTGGTAAGTAAAAAAGTAAATTATCGTATCCGTTCCCGAAGGGAACTCACGCGAGTGGTAGGCTTTCCCCAAATCGGCCAGCCGAAAAATTGGCCTAAAACGAGACTTATAGAAAAATAGCTAAGCCTTTCGCCGATTTTGGAGGGTTCCTTTGAGTACGTGTAGTACTAGTGCGTTGACGTCGTGTGACCCGTGTCCTTCGACCTCCTCTCAAACAAACATTAGCCATTACTAGGAAGATCGTTAGTAGTGAAATCCACAAATCGGCCGGCCGAAAAATTCGCCGAAAACGAGACTTATCGAAAAATCGCTGAGCTTTTCGTCAATTTTGGAGGGTTTTAGAGAGTCGCCGAAAATCTACCAAATCGTCCACTATCTCACCAATTTTGAAGCCAATACATGTACCCGTATTATCTCTAATATAAGCACAGTCTCCAATAATAGCACGTCTCCAGTAATAGAACACCTTGGGGCGGCATTCAAAAAATAAAGTGCTCAGTCTCCATTATAAGCACACTGTGTAAATTCAATATCTGTACCGGCGAAAAAAACCCTGAAATGTGTTTGTCATACATGAATTTGGCATGGCAACATGCCTCTGAAATGAGGTTGAAATAACAATGGAACAGTCTCCAATAAAGGAACGTCTCCATTAATAGCACGGGGCGGAGGTGCATTGAAAAAATAAAGGACCATGCTTATATTAGAGATAATACGGTATGCCAACAATTCTTTTAGCCGATTTTCCGATTTTCCAATACAATGTATATTCCAATTTTGCAGCTGATTTTGCAGCCGAATCTGATGGATTTTTGAGCTTAGCGAAAAGCCGAATACCTAGGCGAAAAACGGGCCCATTTTGGGGAAAGCCTAGCGAGTGGCCTGCAGCTCACTTCGAAATTATTTGGAGTTTTACGCCAAATTTGACGTGCATTTGCGTGTCACGTCGGAAATAACGACGTTACGTGCATCCTAACGTCTCTAGTAATCCAGTATCACTCTTGTGGTCCTGATTCATGTGGTTGCGTGTATGCAGAAGGCTCTTTACTGAGTCTTTAGCCAGTCAGATATCTGCCTTGGCTGTGGGTGATACCTCTGCTGCACTAGCACTGGCAGAGGCTAACGACTAGTTACGCTGAATGAGCGGTATTGACCGGATCACTACATGTACATGTACATGTACATGATTTGATAATATTATTATTTGAAACTCGGATGTTGAGCCATAAATAAATGTAAAAGAGAAAAGGACATATGGATACGAGTTAAGAGTACACCAGTCACCTGGTCACCGTGCCGGCAGGGTACAACTTACTAGCCTGTTTGACCTTTTTTGGGTGCAGTCCTGTCACTCGAGTTGAACCTTGGTGTGAAAGTTGTCGCCTGCTGGCGCGGTGACCAGGTGATTTGGGCACCCAGGAGCACGTGACCGCTTCTTCAACCATGTTCGATTGGGAATAAAGGAGGAACGCTGCATCGCAGCCTTTTCGGACCAAAACCAGTCGACTCAGCGTCCAAAAGACTAC